ACCCACCAGCTGCTCTTCAGAAACCCTATACTGGATCGCTATGAGGTGGAACGACTCGACTTCACAACAGGATTAGGGTAGGGGTTGCACTAGGATTAGGGTAGGGTCGCTGGTGAAGGCTATCATGTGTGGTAAGGTGGAGGGTCAGAGAAAAAGAGGAGGACCCCCCAGTGAGATGGATTGGCAAAGTGGCAGCGTCAATGGGCTCAAGTGTGGCAACAGTAGTGAGGTTGGCCCAGGACTGGGCAGTGTTTCATTCTGCTGGGCATAAGGTCGCTATGGGTCGGTACCGACTCGATGGCACCTAACAACAACAACATAGTCCACCTTTGAGCAAACAATGGGTGGCTTTGTTGAGTGTACTGTGGCGCATTCAGTTCACATTGAGATCAGAATGAGAGAGGTTCCGGCCCAGACCTTGGCTGTGAGGCAAACTGCTCTGGCCTTTGGGCCACAGAGGACCTAGAGTGGGGAGGCTCTAGCAAGCCCCTCTTTCTCTGGGTATCACTGCAGTTAACGTAACAAAGGAAAACCCTTATTCCCAAACAAACTCACACTTTCCAGTATTAGGACTTCAACTGGACTCTTGGGGGAGGGATACAAACCAACAGCAGGGAGCCACTGAAGCTCTGTCACTGCCAAGCTGTGTGACTTTGGGATGTCATCTCGAGTCCCTCATCCGTAAATGGACATGACGCTGCCTAGCTCCCAGATGGTGCAGATGTGTGAGCAGAGACACTTAGAACCCAGAGGCAGGTGTGTTTGGCAGACAGTCGGGGTTCATAATGTTGACTGAATTCATGAAGGGCGGGAACTAAGGTCATGTACATTTATGGAGAGAATCTTGGGAAGGTGGTGTTTGGGCGAGGGGAGGAGTGGAGGTAGGGAGCTTTCCCCGCCACAGCCTCCTCCTCAGTCCTGCTGGAACCCCACTACCCACCTCCTGTGGGGTGTGACTCTACTCCTCCTCTGGACTCAGCACAGATTGATGCCCGGAGTCAATGGTCCCCACAGCTCCCCTCCAGTCACAAACAAGCAGCCATGCCTTGTTAGCAGAGATCCCTGTGGTACGGGGACTACAAAGCCCACCCCAATTCCAGTCGCTGGTGAGGAAGCAGAGTTGTTAGTGGTGATGGGAAATGTGCCGACATTGCTGGTGATGGCTGCACAACATGACAAATGTCATTAATGTCACTGACTTGTACGAGAAGGCTTCAATCTTTGCATTCCGTTTTTCAATCAACTTTTTGAAGCTCCCACTTACGCATAAAAGTCTTGAATTGGTGAATGTTGTTTTAAGTATTTTAACCACCAAAAAGGAAAATGGACCCTAATTTTTTATTCTCTACCACACCACACCACAGTTCCTCCCATCAAGATTGTTGTTGTTGTTGTTAGGTGCTGTGGAGTTGGTACCAACTCATGTACAACAGATCGAAACACTGCCTGGTCCTGTCCCAACCTCACAACCATGGCTGCACTTGAGCCCATTGCAGCTGCCACTGTGCCAGTCCATCTCATTGGGGGTCTTCCTCTTTTCCTCTGACCGTCCACTTTATGGATATCACAAGCATGATGTCCTTCTCCAGGGATTGGTCCCTCCTGATAATATGTCCGAAGTGTGAGAGATGCAGTCTGGCCATCCTGATTTCTAAGAAGCATTTTGGCTGAACTATTTCAACACAGATTTGTTTGCTCTTTTGGTGGTCCATGGTACTTTAAATAGTCTCCTCCAACACCATAACTGAAACACATCATTCTTCTACACTGTCCAGCTTTCACGTGCATATGAAATCATTGAAGATGCCATGGCTTGGGTCAGGTGCACCTTAGTCCTCAAACTGACATCTTTGCTCTTGAACACTTCAAAGAGGTCTTGTGCAGTAGATGTGCCTAATGCAATACATCATTTGATTTCTTGACTGCTGCTTCCATGAGTGTTGATGGTTGATCCAAGCAAAAAGAAGTCTTTGACAATTTCATTATTTTCTCCATTTATCTTGATGTTATTTATTGGTCCAGTAGTAAGGATTTTTGTTTTCTTTTCATTGAGGTACAACCCATACTGAAGACTGTGGTATTTAATCTTCATCAATAAGTATTTTAAGTCCTCTTTGCTTTCAACGAGCAAGGTTGTATCATCTGCATATTGCAGATTGTTAATTAGTCTTCCTCCAACCCTGATGCCATGTTTTTCTTCATATAATCCAGCTTCTCAAATTATTTGCTCAGGATACAGGTTGAATAAGTATGGTGAGAGAATACAACCTTGTCACACACCTTTCCTAATTGTAAACCACCCAGTCAGTCAGTGTTCTGTGTTCTGTTCAAACAACTGCCTCTTGATCTATGTACAGGTTCTTCATGAGCACTTAATTGTGTTATCCATAGCTTATCATGATCCGCACAAAGTCTTTGTGTAATCAATAAAGTACAGGTAAACATCATTCTGGTATTTTCTGCTTTCAGTTAGGATCCATCTGACATCAGCAATGATATCCCTAGTTCAAAGGTTTCTCGTCTGAATGCAGCGCGGCTTGACCTTCTGACAGCTCCCTGTCAATGTACGTTTGCAACTTTATCTTTAGCAAAACATTACTTGCATGAGATATTAGTGATATTTTCCAATGATTTTCACATTCCGTTGGATCACCTGTCTCTGGAATGAATCTCTTCCAGTCAGTTAAAGTAGCTGTCTTCCAAATTTCTTGGCATAGATGAGTAAATGCCACTAATTTGCTGGAAGTTATCTATTTGTATTCCATCAATTCCCGGTGCCTTGTTCTTTGCCAGTGTCTTCAGTGTGCCTTGAACTTCCTCCTTCAGTATCATTGGCTCTTGATCACATGCTACTTCTTGAAATGGACCATTTCTTTTTCTACAGTGACTCTCTTCCATCTTCTTTTCAATATTTTACCCATAGAATCCTTCAATATTTCAAGTGGAGGCTTGAATTTTTTCTTTAGTTGCTTCAGCTTGAGAACTGCTGAGTGTGTTCTTCCCTTTTGGTTTTCTAACTCCAGGTCTTTGCACATTTCATTATAATATTTAAGCTTGTTTTCTTAAGCTGCCTTTTGAAATTTTTTATTCAGCTTTTACCTCCTCACTTCTTCCATTTGCTTTAGCTTCTCTATGCTGGAGAGCAAGTTTCAGAGTCTCTTCTGACATCCATTTTGGTCTTTTCCTTCTTTCTTATCTTCTTAATGACCTTTTGCTCTCTTCCTGTATGATGTTCTTGATGTCATCCCATAACTCTCTGGTCTTCGGTCTTTAGTGTCTAATTCATCAAATCTGTTCTTGAGATGATCTCTAAATCCAGGTGGGATATGTTTAACATCAGACTTGTTTTAACTTTCTTCAGTATCAACCTGAACTTGCACATGAGCAATTGATGGTCTGTTCGACAGTCTTCCCCTGGTCTTGTTTTGGCTAATGATATGGAGCTTTCCCAACATCCCTTTCCAAAGATGTGTATTCCATTTGGTGAGGTCCAAATTGTCTATGAAAGGTATTTGCAATGAAGAAGTCATTGGTCCTGCAAAATTCTATCATGCCATCTCCAGCATTGTTTATATTACAGAGGCCATATTTTCCAATGACTCATCCTTCCTCTTTGTTTTCAACTTTTGTGTTCCAATCATCAGTTAATATCAATATATCTTGATTGCATGTTTGAGCAATCAAGATACCGGAACTATTTACCCAAAGAGTGAGCCTTTGTCAATAGATCGTGGTGGCAGTGACATCAAGGTTTCTAAGCCTTAAGAGGCTTCCATGCTTTTACTTGCTTTTGGAAACCTGCTAGCGCCACGCACCCACCTACCGGGCCGCTCCTAGAGGTCACCAGTAAGCCCCCAAATGGGGACTTATTCCAAGCCTGAATCCTGTGGATGCAAGCCCAAGCCCAAGTGATGTCAGCGTGTGTGACCCAAATCAGCAGGCACCAGCTGCAGGTGGGAGCTTTGTCGCAGAACAGCTGGGGACTGATTTTGTTGCAGAGCAGCTGGGGACTGATTTTGTTGCAGAACAGCTGGGGACTGATTTTGTTGCAGAGCAGCTGGGGACTGATTTTGTTGCAGAGCAGCAAGGAACTGATTTTGTGCTTCATTCTTTTCTCCGGTAGAGAGGTTCAGACCACGATGGTCTGGTCAAGGACTCCCAGCTTTTGCCCCAGGTTATGCCGCCCCAGAAAGTATGGGGGGGGCACATGGGACTGGGAGGAACATGGGACGACGACGACGAGTAGGTGCCCACTCATAGCGACCTTATGCACAGCAGAACGAAACACTGCCCGATCCTGGGCCAACTTCACTTGGAGACACACTTGTTGTTGTTAAGTGCCGTCAAGTCGGTTCTGACCCATAGCGACCCTGAACAGGGTTTCCGAGGCTGTAAATCTTTATGGGAGCAGAAAGCCTCATCTTTCTCCCGCGGAACCACTGGTAGTTTCGAACTGCTGACCTTGAGGCTCACAGCCTGATTCGTAACCACTACGCTACGAGAGAGCTCACTAGTGGTGGCTATGTGCCGTGGAGTCAGTTCCGACTCACAGCGACCCTGTACAGGGTTTCCGATCTTTAGGGAGCAGAAAGCCTCATGTTTCTCCCGCGGAACAGCTGGTAGTTTCGAACTGCTGACCTTGCTGTTCGCAGCCCGATTTGTAACCACTACGCTACCAGAGTAGGTGAGAATGAAATTTCCCAGGATGCCGGACGCTCAGACTACATTTCCCAGAAGTGCACGGGAGACAGTCGGCCGCGCTTTAATGACTCCATTTCCCAGCGTGCCGCGGGAGGAGTGCCCAGTTCCGCCCCCTCTACCTGGACCCGCGAGTGGCTGGAGACGTGGCTGGAGACGCTCCTGGCACCGAACGCAGCTGTCTGGGTTGCAGGGCAGGTGCGGCAGGGCTCAGGTGAGACTGCACCAGCCTCCGAGGGGATCGGGGCTGAGACAATGTGAGCATGATGGCTTGTAACTCACACCGTTGGGTCCTACAGGTGCAGCGGACATGGGGGAACCCGGGAGATCCATGCGGATCTTAGTGACAGGGGGCTCCGGGCTGGTGGGCAGAGCCATTCAGCAGGTGGTGGCAGATGGGGCGGGCCTGCCCGGAGAGGACTGGGTGTTTGTCTCCTCCAAGGATGCAGACCTCACGTGAGTGAGCCCATTCTTGAGCCCCCACCCAGACTGCCAAACTTCCCAGTTGATAAACCATATCCGCCACCTCCGTGAGTTCCCATCTAGCCTCCGCCCACTACTTCCCATAAGCCCTGAAGCAGCCACTGTCTGTCCCGCTTCCCCAGGGATGCAGCGCAGACGCGGGCCCTGTTTGAGAAGGTCCGGCCCACACACGTCATCCATCTAGCCGCAATGGTGGGGGGCCTGTTCCGGAACATCAAGTACAATTTGGACTTTTGGGTGAGTGAAGAGGCAACCCAGTGAACACTGGGAGCCAGGAGCCTGGGTTTGGAACTCCCTGGTCGCTTCCCAGACGCACAGGTTCACGGTGAACCCTAGATAGACGTTCCAGAGAGTCAACACCTGAAGGCCCCAGTGAGGAAATCCAGGGAGCTGACCGGGTGGGATGGGGCCTGAGAGAGGCTGGCATTGGCTGCCTGCCCGGTTTTTCTGCATCTTGAGCCCTTGACCTCCAGACACGCAGGCTCCCAGGACTGCTAGTCCACTTCCAGTGAACCAGGATCAAGGTGGCCCAGCTTGCTCTGGTACTAGGCCCACGGGCAGGAGTGGGGCAAGAAGGGAAGGAGGGGCCCTTGGACCCCGTCCCTTCATTAAATGTTCTCTGCAGCACCTGCAGGTGGGGCTTTACCCTGGGCTGAGAGGGGTGTGATCCTCCTGGGTGCTGGCTGTCTGCGGCCTGATGGGGGTGGGACAGGCGGTGGAGAATGACAGGAGAGGAGCCAGTTGTTTCTGGGAGGTTAGGATGGGAGGCTTCATAATGGGAAGGAGTTATGATGTACAACTTGGGCACTGCCCCTGTCTGCGGGTTAGGGTGTGCCCTGACCTCTGTCCCCAGAGGAGATGGTGAGGGCTAGGATGCTGTGGGAGGGGCCTGACCCACCTGCTCCATCCCTGCAGAGGAAAAACATTCACATCAATGACAACGTTCTGCATGCAGCCTTTGAAGTGGGCACCCTCAAGGTGGTCTCCTGCCTGTCCACCTGCATCTTCCCTGACAAGACCACCTACCCTATTGATGAGACCATGGTGAGTGGAAGTGATGTTAGCCTTACTGGGTGGGGTCTGACCTATAGGAGGGGTTCTCCCCCGACACCCTGAAGTAATACAGGGGTGGGATCTCCCCTGTGGGCAAGCCAGGAAGTAGCTGTAGCCTTGCAGGGTGGGGTCTGAGTAGCAGCTCCAGGAAGCGATGAGCTCAGTGTGTGTCCTGCCCCTCCCTAGATCCACAGCGGCCCCCCTCACAGCAGCAACTTTGGCTACTCATACGCCAAGAGGATGATTGACGTCCAGAACAGGTGCTCTGGTGCCCGCCCTACGGAGGGGTGAGGGCTCTACACTGGGTTGGATGGGACCAGCTGGGTCTCCCCTGCGCTGTCTTACGTCCCCTTCTGGTTGCCGGTGTGTAAAAGGCCAGAGGTGGGTGGGGTGGGACGTACAGGCTATTGTGCCTCTCTGCAGGGCCTACTTCCAACAGCACGGACGGACCTTCACTGCAGTCATTCCCACCAATGTCTTTGGGCCCCACGACAACTTCAACATTGAGGATGGCCATGTGCTGCCCGGCCTCATCCACAAGGTGCACCTGGCCAAGTGTGAGTGCTCGCTGGTGCACATGGAGTTTGCATGAGATTGAGGTTCCTGGAGCTTGGTGGAGGTGGGAGTGCCAGACACATTGGCCCCTCAGACACCTGCCCTTCCCTCATCTGCAGGCAGCGGTTCGGCGCTGACAGTGTGGGGTACGGGGAAACCTCGGAGGCAGTTCATCTACTCACTGGTTTGTGTCCCTCTTGTCTGACCCACTTCCTTGCCCTCAGCAGGAAGATAGCTTGCAGTCCCTTGGCTTGCTTGGCATGGGGTAAAGGGCTGGGCTGAGCTCCAGAGCCATCCTCATCATCCCTGGGTCCCTGAAGGCCCGGGCATCACCATACAGCTCTGAGCTCAGACAGAAGTCTTGGTCAGTGTCATGTGGGCTGGCTGCGGGCCACCCAGAGGAAACCCAGCGTGGGCTTTTAGGCAGTGGCCTCTGACCGTGCTCTTTCTGGCCCCCAGGACCTGGCTCGGCTCTTCCTTTGGGTCCTCCGAGAGTACAGTGAGGTGGAGCCCATCATCCTCTCAGGTGCCCACCCTGTCCTGCTGAGGGGTGGGGGTAGGGAGGCGGACCACCAGAGGGGTGGGGGCGGGGCTGAGCTGGTCTCGGACTCCTCCCTCCTGCAGTGGGCGAGGAGGATGAGGTCTCAATAAAGCAGGCGGCTGAGGCTATAGCGGAAGCCATGGACTTCCATGGGGAGGTCATCGTATCCTTTGGCTCCTTTGGAAGTGAAGCCTAGTGAGGTCCGTGCATGGAGACTGCCCAGTGGAGGGGAGGGGTGGGATCACCCTGGGGGAGAGGCCACAAGGTCCTGGTGACTCCAGGGCTGAGGTGGAGTGAGGGGGATGGGTGCTGCTTCCGCAATGGCCTTGACCAGACACCCAGTTTGATACAACCAAATCGGATGGACAGTTTAAGAAGACAGCCAGTAATTGCAAGCTGCGGGCCTATCTGCCGAACTTCAAGTTCACTCCTTTCAAGCAGGGTAAGGCCCCCGCTCTCTGTGTGTTCTCGTGAATCTTCCCAGGCCTCAGCTTGCCGATCTCAGGGGTGGGTACCCATGAGAATGCCTGGTCAGAGCCAGGGAGGTGAGGACCCTGAGGTTCGGGCTGTGGGGATGTGAGGGGAGACACCCCTGAGTCCCCCACCTCCTTCTCCTCCAGTAAAGCTTACCCTGTCTCCCTCCCCTCCCACAGCTGTGAAGGAGACTTGCACCTGGTTCACGGACAACTATGAGCAGGCCCGGAAGTGACTCGGCGGGCGGTGCCCCGGTGGGCGGGGCAGCAGCAGCGCCTCCCCAGGCCCGGAAGTGGTGCAGTGGGCAGGGCGACAGCGGCTTTGTACCAGGCCCCCGAGGCAAACACCCTCTGACCTCTCCAGGAGCTTAGGTCCTGCCCAGCAAGCTGAGCCCACAAACGCCTTCTGCGCGCTGTCTCCCAGCAGCTGTCCAACAGTACCACACACGCACGTCCATCCTCAGGGAAACCAACGTCTACCGGTCAGGGACCCGGCATCTCACTCTGGCAGGTTGCTGGTCTGTCTACTTCTGACCCTGCCCTCCTGTTGCCTGGGAGCAATAAAGTGCATTTTCACAGCTCTGGGCTAGCAGTCCCTGATGCTGCAAGCCAGGCGTCCCCCAGCCCCCTGTGCCTGCCCCATACATAACTCCTGAGAGTTGCTAAGGGTCCGCTCTGGACTTGCGGGGAAAGGGAGCCACCTGGTGCTTGATAGGAAAATGGAGACTGTGAGGTTGCTTGTGCTGAGGGCTGCAGGCAGGCTGGGGAGGGGTGCAGAGCAGACGGGTGAGCAAAGTGGCTGCCGGGCTGAGAGAGAGGGCTCATGGGAGACGGTCTTGGCTGTGGTCATAACCCATCTTCACGTGTGGCCATGTGTAGACCTGGCTGGCTTGAGGCGAGAGAGGCTAAATTCTGAGGATTTTCGGGGAAGGGGCTGGTCGGAGTTTCGGCCGATAATCTGGGAGCCCAAGGATGGTGGATGGATCTCTGGTACTAATGGTGATTGAGTGATCACCTCTATCAATTAGGACTTGGAGTTAGAAAATAAGGGAAGAACTTGTTTAACTTTTCTCAAGCTGAGAGAACTGAAGAAAAATTCAGGCCTTGATTCTATGGGAGAAAATATTGAATGATGCAGAAAACATCAAAAGAAGACGGAAGGTATACAGAGACACTGCACTAAAAAGAACTGGTTGACGTGCAGCTAGTTCAGGAGTTATTGTATGCCCAATGGGATGAGAGAAGTCCAAATGCACCGAAGGGTTTGGGGGAAAAGAAGGCTCCGAGAATTCATGGAATGCAAATGGAAATGCTTCAACAAAGTGAAATCTGAAACACAGCTTTGTGGCCAAACAACTGGAAGGGATCCATATTTGTACACAGACCATAGAAAGGTGACCCAACAGAACACAGAAAAGATGAAACAATGTCATTCATAGCACATTCGAGCCATGTTTTGCTGAAGATAATTCACAAACTTGCAGCAGTACATTGAGGGGAAGTGCCAGAAATTCAGTCTGAATTTAGAAGATGTGGAACAAGGGATATCATTGCTGACATCAGATGGATCTTGGCTAAAAGAGAATGCTAGGAAGATGTTTACTTATGTTTTATAACCAAATGCCTATGTGGAGCATAACAAACTATGGATAACATTGCAAACAATGGAAATTCCAGAGCAACTGTGCTCAAGAGGAACCTGTACACAGACTTAGAGACAATTGGCTAGACTGAATGGAGGATACTGTATGGTTTAGAATCTAGAAAGCGATGTGTCAGTAATGTACCCTTTCACCACGCTTATTCAACCTGTATGCTGAGCAAAGAATCCAAGAAGCTGGATCATATGAAGAAGAAAGTGGCGTCTTCAGAACTGGAGGAAGGCTCCTTTAACCTGCGATATGCCGATGACAACCTTGCTGAAAACAAAGAGGACTTGAAGCACTTCCTGATGGTCAAAAACTACAGCCTTCAGGATGGATTGCAACTCAGTGTAAAGAACACAGAAATCCTCACAACTGGACCGATAAACAATGATAAACAGAGCAACAATTTGAGTTGTCAGGAATTTCATTTTACTTGGACCCACAATCAATGCTCATGGAAGCAGCAGTCAAAAAACCAAATGAGGCATTGCCAATCTGCTGCAACAGACCTCCTTAAAGCGGTAAAGAGCAAAGATGTTGGGCAATGGATAAGGAAGATTTGAGAAAATCTGATGCATTTGAATTACAGTGTTAGTGAAGAATATTTAAAGTATTAGACTTTCAGGAGAGCAAACGAAATCTGGTGTCTTGGAAGAAGTACAACCAGAATGCTCCTTAGAAGCCAGGATGGCCACAAGTCCTGCCTCATAGTTGGACCAGTAGAGGGTTTGCAGAAAAGGGGAAGACCCCCAAAGAGGTGGATTAACACCGTGGTAACGACAATGGGCTCAAACATAACAATTGTGAGGATTGCATAGTGTTTTCATTCTCTTGTACAGAGGGTGGTCGGGCCCATCCATGGCATCTAGTAACAATCAGCCTCTACATGTCCCCGCCATGCACCTGGTCTCCTCTAAGGCCAGCAGAGACAGAACCCCTTATTCATTGGGCTCTGCCACTCTAGAGTTCTGCTCTAGTCTAGGGGCACGGCCTCACTGAGGTCTCTCCAGCCTTCTCCCTATAATTCCAGGGGGAGTCAGTACAATATAGGAAAATGGCCCAGACACGGTGAGCCCATCCTATTACCCAGGGGCCAAAGGGAAAAGCTTGCTCCCAACAGAAGTCGGCGTTCAGCAGGGCGGCTGCTTCTTAGCTCAAGAACTCTTTCCTTGAAAGCTTAGGTGCTGAAAGGCCATCAGCAACCTCTAGGGTGCAGCACCCCTGCGAGGGGCTGCGCCAGACAATCTGGAAGAATTGCCTTAGGGGCTAAGATTGGCCCCACCCTGCCGGCCCATCCCTGTACGCACACACTGATCTCCGCTCCACTCGCACACACCCGAGTCCAGCCGCGGCGCCCGGTCTCGCTGTGCTCAGGATCAGGTATTCAGCCTACCGTTTCCTTAGCCGACACCTCCAGCCTTTCCTATGCCTGTGGCGGTGTGAGACCAGCCCAGAAACCCTAGGCACCTGGCCGTGATTTTTCCCAATCAATGGGCGCGAGGGGCGGGACCACGCTTTTCAGACCAATGAGCAGCCTGGTGGGGGGTGGGGAACACGGCTTCGCGCTCCTGCAGAGGGCGGACCAAAAATCAGGAAGAGATTGGGCGGAGCGTGGGATCCGTGCAACCAATTCCCGAGGAAAGGGACGGGGCGGTGTAGCCGATTGGTAGGAGCGACGCTTGGGGCGGAATCCACCTGGACGGCGAGATGGCGGCTGCGGACAGCGGAGCCCCGTGGAGCGTGGGCTTCGTGGGTGCCGGCCGCATGGCGGAGGCCATCGCGCGGGGCCTCATCCAAGCAGGTGGGCGCCGGCGGAATGACCCTTCCCGGGGCTCGTACCCTCTGTCCCAGGGAGACTCTCGTATACTCCCCGAGAGCAGCCGCGAATCACGCGTGCCTACGGAGTGCTAGCCATGGGGCGGGTCTGAAATGAGACGTGCACCGTGTGTAAGATACACACCGGATCCACAAGATTTAGTAAAGTCTCACGTGACTTAGCTGTGACGTGGGTAATGCCATCTACCTCCTACGGTTGTATGCATTGAGACCACGGCTTTAAGAATTGATCCTGGTGCTGGCATCCGAGGGCAGACAGCACTTCGCTGCCGTCAGGGTCATAATCGGCGCGTTCTGTGCGCTAGTGGCGCCGGTCCGGAAGTCTCACCCTGTCTCCCAGCCCCGTGGCCCTGCTGGGACACACAGGCTCAGCTTGGACTACCCCACACAGATTGCCCCTGTCCACAGGAAACCTGGCCCCCTTGGACGTTCCTTGGGTGTTTTTCGGCCTCCGCACTACCATGCCACGTCCTCAGCTGGGGTGCTGTTTGGTCCTGGGGCGGTTGGACCGCCTACAGGAGGAGACCAGCTCCGGGCCCGGGTCCTCCCCGGCTATCCAGCAGCAGGGGGCAAGGGGCAGGGCCTGCACAACAGAAGAAAATAAACGGTGTAAGAAGCATATCCATCGGGGGCCTTGGGCTCCTGTGCGCCAGGGAGAAACGCCCCAGTAAGAGACAGCCCCTCTTTTCCTTTCTCCTGCCTCTGTCCCTCCTCACCACCTCGGCCTTTGCTCCTCCCCCAGGAAAGGTGAAAGCTCAGCACGTCATGGCCAGTGCACCGACAGACAGGAACCTCTGCCACTTTCGGGTGAGCTGAGAGCCAAGCTCTTCTGTTCCCGTGTTCCTCCGCTGTTTCCCTGGGCCCGGGACTACGTTGTTTGTTCTGCAGTGAGCTGGGGAAATGGCGGTCGGAGACCAAGGCAGAGTCTATGTAGGGGAGTTTGTGGGAGGGTTCTAAGCCTTCGTGGGTATGGGGTGGTGCTAGCAGCTGCAGCAGGAGAGCTTCGTGGGGGCTGTGAGGATGCAGGAGGCTGGTGGTCGAGGAGCTTCCCTGGCTCACAGCTGCTTGCTGGCCCTGGTGTTGTAGGCTCTGGGCTGCCGGACCACCCACAGCAACCAGGAAGTGTTGCAGAGCTGCTCCCTCATTTTCTTCGCCACCAAGCCCCATGTTCTGCCAGCTGTCCTGGTGGAGGTGGCCCCTGTGATCACTGATGAACAGATCTTGGTGTCTGTGGCTGCGGGGGTCCCTCTGAGAACCCTGGAGGAGGTAAGCAGCTGCTTGAGGTTGGAAGCAGAGGGACCTTTCCTTCAGCTGTAGGCACTGCTGGTTGATGGCCTCCTTCTCCTGCTCAGACCATCTCCAGCCTGTACCCAGTCCTTCAGGGAGCCTGGATGTTGGGTGGGTGCTCCAGACCCTGGAGCCTGAAGGGGTCTGAAGCCCCCGCCCAACTGCTGACCCCAGCCCCTTGCCCGCAGCTGCTGCCCCCAAGGGCACGGGTACTGCGCGTCTCGCCCAACCTGCCCTGTGTGGTTCAGGAGGGGGCTATGGTGCTGGCTCGGGGCTGCTGGGCTGGGAGCAGCGACGCCCAACTCCTGCAGAGCCTGCTAGCTGCCTGTGGGCAGTGCGAGGAGGTGCCCGAGGCCTACATGGACATCCACACCGGCCTCAGTGGCAGTGGCGTGGCATTTGTGAGTGATGTCTCCCACCCCTCCCCCCACCCAGCAGGCTGGTCCTTCCATGTGAGTGCTCTGTCTCAGGGCACTGGTCGGCTACCCTTAACTCCCCAGTATGTCCCCGGTCTGTAAGCCCAGGCCTCCTAAGATCCCTTTTACAGTCCTCGGGTCAGCCCCAAAGATGGTTGTCCAGGTTTTGGCCCTGCACCTTGGGCTTCAGGACACCAAGGTTCTGACCTCTGGTAGGTCTCTTGGCCATGTCCAGGGTGGGGCAGATCCAGGACCCTCCTCCCCCCGTGTCTGCCTGCAGGTGTGTGCCTTCTCTGAGGCCCTGGCTGAAGGTGCTGTCAAGATGGGCATGCCTAGTGACCTGGCCCACCGCATCGCTGCACAGACCCTACTGGTGAGCAGTGTGGAGGAAGCTGGCGGAGGGGGGGGGAAAAGGGAGGGGTGCTGGGCAGGATCCATTTCCTGCCGGGGGTGGGGTGGCGGGGGTGGCTGGGGGTGAGTCAGAGACACCTGCCTGGCATCTAGTCACAACACAGGGCCGCTCCCCCCAGGGCACTGCCAAGCTTCTTCTGCAGGAGGCCCGGCATCCTGCCCAGCTGCGGACAGATGTGTGCACGCCCGGTGGCACCACCATCTATGGGCTCCACGCCCTGGAGCAAGGTGGCCTTCGGGCGGCCACTATGAGTGCTGTGGAGGCGGCCACCAGCCGGGCCAAGGAGCTCAGCAAGAAATAGGGCCCAGAATGGGGCCACCCTGCGCAGTCCAGAGTGCTGAAACTGCCCTGTCCTGCTCTGTCCCCCGACCCCAGGACAGTACACCGGTGTCTCAGTTAGGGGACAGGATTCCCAGAGTAGTGGGGCTCACTGTAGGGATACCATGGTGACGGTCCCTCTTAGTGGGTCTGCTCTCTGGGCTGAGAGGCTCTAGGGTAGGGTGCCCTGCAAGATTGGGTGGGTGAGGGTGGGCACACACAGCAGTCTGAGCCTGAGCCCAGCCCCTCGCTCAGATGCCCCTGCCAGACTAAAGCCCGTCCTTCCTACCACACAGCTCCCCGCCACCTCGCTCAGCATGCTGAGTGCACAGGGAGCTCCGCCCAGAGCAGAGCTGCCACGCAGAGCCCTGCCTTGGATCAGGGATACTGGAAGCGATGTGGCCCCTCCCTCGATGGCCCCCCATGTCAGGAGTCGTAGTGTTCCATTGTCCTTGCACCCCGGCCTCTGCCTACCTGGCTCTCCAGCATGTCCCATGGTCCACAGGGACTTGAGCAAAAAGGCAGATGTGACACTTCAAGCCTAGGACTTTGTGGGTGCTGCCCTTCTGTCCCCAAGGCTCCCCTGGACCTCCCCACCCCTAGGCTAGACCTCTCCTCACTTCTTCTTTGGGACCTCCAGGGCATGAGAGTGCTGTGGGCAGCTGCTGGACTCTGGGCAGACTAACCTCCCATTTCCAGGGTGGGGCTCTTCCCCTAGTACTCTGCCTCCAGTTGCAGTCCCCACCCCATCCCCAATCCTCAGCCCTCTGTCCTTGGGCTGACATGGGCCTGCCTCCACTCCCTGGTGTCTGTCTGTAAAATGGGCATACGGATGCTGTCTGTCTCGGGGACCTAAAAGAGATGCCATGTAACGGGAGCTAATAAAATGTGTATCTGAGTGCTTGTTTTCATTTGAATGAGGCCTGGGGCCTTGGACTCAGCCACTTGTTGCTCAGGGTGGGTGGCTTGCAGGGCAGTTTCCTGCTTGACCACACATGCCCCTACAGCAAGGTGTCCCCACAGCTGACCTCCCTCTGGGCAACTGGTGTTTGCTACACCCCAAGTTTGGAGCCCAGGCTCCAGGTGCCCCTTCTGCCCACTCGGAAACTCCCCAGGTAACGCTGCCAGGGGCTGAGGTGGTTACCACTACAGGGGACTCCCCGCTTTCCCAAGGATGCAGCCTCTAACAAGCCTCAGGCTCAGCCCCCTTCTACTGATGCCTCTTTAACCATGTACTTTTGAGGCTGAAGTGACCACTTTTCAGGGTAGAAATGGACAAATCAGCTTTAAAATTTTTTAATTTTTTATTTCTATACCCCATCTAAAGCTCTGGTAGCATAGTGGTTACAAATCGGGCTGTGAGGCTCCAGGTCAGCAGTTTGAAACTGCCATGGGAGAAAGACGAGGCTTTCTGCTCCCGTAAAGGATTATAGCCTCGGAAACCCTGTACAAGGTCACTATGAGTTGGAACCAACTCCACGGCACATAACATACCTCATCTTGCCCTGACTTTCTTAATGAGACATTCTAGACCCAAACACGGAGTCAGAAATGACAAGACTAAGACTTTAGATTGAAGATGCTCCAATTACAAAGTAATAAAAGCCAAGGTTTGACTTGGTGAAATTGATCACGTTCAATCTTTATTATAAAGGGCATGGGATGGGCAGCTGACCAGGTGCAGGGAGGCGTGGGTGGTAAAGATTGGACTCCTAAGAGCCGGCGGTCCCTCAAGGGAACATGCCTTTGGGTTCCAGCCTTGTCCCTTGGACACCCCTCTCTCAGCTAGGGCGCCGCTTTCCTGCCAAGAAGTCAAGGCCCCAAGTTTGAGGGTTTCGGGAGGAACATCGTTGCAGTTCCTAGCATTGGGCCTGGCCCTTGGCAGACAGCCAGTGTAGCTACTAAGGGGGCTTCTAGCAGCTTCCACCTTTAGGCATCAGCCGCCTCCCTCAGTATTTCAGGCTGGGAAGTGTCAGGTTAGAGCATGTGGTCCACCACGCAGCTGGAAGACCCTGGATTGAAGAAGCCGGCCAGACTTATGGTGGTCTTTGTTTAGGAAACCACGTGCACACCAGACTGGACCTCCTGCCTTGGCCTGTCTTCCGAGGGGCAACCCTGAACTGAGCTGGGGAGTAGAGTATCCTGAAGGCTGGGGACAGACACATTGTGCCCAAGCCCCAGGACCTGGCTCACTCCATTTCTACAGTGAAGATCTCTTTAGGGGCTCGGCCCTCTTGTGAGGGGGTTTACCTGGTAGCACATTCGTGAGCAGTCTTTTACTAGGCACACCTGTCCAGAACACAGGAGCCAGGTGGTGGGAAAACAGATTCAGCCTCAGGTGTGCCTACCCATGCCAGCAAGAGGGTCTCCACACTAAGTTAGTTCCTGGGCAGGCAGGAACTGGGGCCTGAGCCCAGCTAGCCAGGGCTTCTCCAGGCTCAGATCACCCTTCTCTTGCTCCCCAATTCCTCAAGCTTCCCCTCAAATCTGCCTGGACATAATATACGCACGTTTCTAAATGGAGGCAGTTCCAAGGAACTGTTTGTTTCCAGACTCCTGTGGAAAGTGCTTTTTGGGGTGCTCATCCTTGATGCTGCTCTGCCAGTCTCCAGCTTCTGTTCTGTGAGACACCACACCCAGGGGGCATCCTGGGGCAGGAGAGTCCAGAGTGAGCATCACTGGGCGCGGTGGGCTCCATGGGACCCTGGTAGTAGTGCCCCTGAATCAGTCATACTCTCAGCAAGCTCCCAGCCACCGCTGGCCAGGGCCACCGACCCCCTCCTCTCCTCTCTTCCCAATAGCTATCCCTAAGTTCACCCAGTCTTGGCTATGTGGGGAGTAAGGGGGAGGACGGGAGGTTGGAGCAGGAGCAGGGACAAAGTAGGTAGTGACTGGGGGGACCCAGGTCCTCTCTTACTATCCTTTAAGCTCCAGGACTCAAGCCAGACACTGGCCAAGCCTTGGGAACAGCTGAGGGGTGCCGTGAGGTATTTCCATGTGGATGGGGACAGAAGCCCTCCGAGGGTACCAGCTCCTCCTGGTCACTGCTGCAGCTGAGACCACCACCAACTCTTGCTCTCTTGACTCCTCTAAGGAGTATTTTAAGTACTGGATTTTTTTTTTTTAATAAACAAAAAACAAGTGAGATGTTTTCCCTCTGAGATGCTGGCACCACCGTGAGAAGGGACATGTAGCACCAGAGGCTCCGGGCCTGCGGTTGTCCAGTGCACGTGAGGGATGATGGGAGCTGTGGACACAGTCTGGGGTCCCACCACATAGGGAACCCGGCCCGGGGGCCAGGCGGATGGATACACAGCAAACTGCTCCTGTTAAGTGCTGTGGCTTGTTAGTGCAGGAGATCGTGGTGCGACCCTGCTTATGGGGTGGGTCAGCCCGTGTGTGCTCCCAGGATGAGCCTGGGCCTGCCTTTTAACCCCTGCTCCCAATTGGGGGCTGTGCGGCGGAGAGACCCTTCACCAGCGGAGCTCTAAGCCGCGCAGGGTTCGTTCCACCCCTGGAAAAACAGGCTGTCAGTACCCACGCCCTCAAGTACATGGGGGGTGGAGGCCGCTGGGGAGCGCTCAGGCCAGTGGTCACACCCCTGCCTCAGGTAGGGTCCCCTCCACACCTCCCAGCCTCCGAGCCATGCTGATGAGTGAGCGCAGCTGTACCAACTTGAGCGGCCCCACCTCCCGAGGATCCTGGCTCTCCAACCACCGCAGAGCGGTTTCCAGACCCCGAATAGCCTCGCAGGCTGTGGGAAGTGGGGCTCCTCCCCGCTCCATCACCGTAGGCCCCTCCCCTGCCTCCTCTGTGACTCCTAGGCCTTGGAGACGACAGGCCTGGGGTCCAGGGGCTTCGGAGGCCAGCCAGGGTGGTGGGCGCGCACCTGCCTCTTCACGGCTGCAGTCGGGCAGCCCCCAGTCGTCATCCAGGTGTAGCCACGCGGCCACTTCCTCCGGCGCCAGGCGCTTGTAGGCCAGGGCGGCCAGGTGGGTGAGGTCGCTGAGCACCCGGCTGTGCTCCGCCGCTTCCTCTGCCTGGCGGGTTGACCCCTCACACGTCTCCTTGGGCTGGGGCTCAAAGGCGGCCCGCAGGCCCAGGAGCCAGCAGCGCTCGATGCTGCCCGCCTGCACCAGGTCCCAGGAGAGACCCGCCAGGTAGAGCATGTCCTTGAGCATGAAGCTACGCATGAAGTCCAGCGGGGAGCCACCCGCGCACGATACAGCCAGACGCAGCAGCTCCCGCTTGTACAGCTGTTTGAAGGCAGCCACCACGCCCTGCTCCAGGGGCGACGGGATCTGCGTGCGACCGCTGCTCCCCGACAAGAACAGCACGCGTACAGCGCCATCGGGTGTCTGCAGCTCCTCTGGGGGTCCGGGGGGCTCAGGTCGGGCCCTCCTGGGGGCCTCCTCGCTCTCGCCCAGGGCTGGCGTCCTAGTGGCCGAGCTCGGGCCGGGCGGATGAGCCACGAGCAGCACGGCCTTCTGTTGCAGGCAACTGCGGCGCAAATAGCGCTTGACTCCAGGAACAAATTCCTCAAAGAACCAACCACGCAAGAGAGGGCGGCTGAGCCAAGCGTCGGGGCTGTAACGGTACGAGGCGGGGAACTTGTCCTGGTTGTGATGGCGCAAGCTGGGGGGGTCGGGCAGCTGTCCAATGATCAGCGGCTTCAGCTTGTGACTGCCCGTCAGGTTGGCGGCCAGCAGCACCGTCACCCGGTCGCCCCGCCACCGCCGGCCGCAGCCCCCTCCCCCGGGGTCCCCTGGACTCCGGGGCCCAGCCTGTTCCGGGAGCAGCTTCCAGTAGAGGCCAGTAACGTTGGCGTTGTAGATCTGTTCGTCGCCGTAGCCTCCTTCGGCGGGGGACAGTGGGGCTGGCGGTCGGGTTGGGAAGGACCCCGCGCCCCCGGGCAGCCGCAGCGTAGGCTCCTCCTTGACGGGTGGGCCAGGCGCTGGTGGTGGGACTGCCGCGGGCGCCGATGGCTCGGCCTCGCCGTAGATGCGTTGGCTGGAGATGCCGTGGCGCTTCTGCCAACGCCAGAACCAGCCGTGGCTGGCCTTGAAGGTGCACTCGGGGCCGTAGATCTGGCGCGCGAAGGCCTCGGCCTGCGCCTGGATGAGCGGCCCCGACAGCGGCACGCCGTGCTGGCGTAACGCCAGGAACCAGGCGTACACAGCGCGGTCGATCTCCTCTTCGTTGGCCAGCCGCATCTTCTTGCGCTGTGTGCCCACCTCGCCGCCCAGCTGCTCCAGGAACCAGCGTAGCTTGGGCTCGTCCTTGAGCCAGCCACGCAGCGTGCCACCAGGCACACCGAAATCGCGGCACACGCTGGCCTGCCGCTCGCCGCTCTTGACGCGCTCGATGGCTTGCAGCTTGTCCTTGATGGAGTAGGCCTTGCGGAAGGCCATCTTCACAGCCACGCGCGGCCGCGACCCCGAAGCGGAGGGCAGCGGGCGTCCGGCGGGGATGCAGGGCGCAGGGGCCCGTGGCGGCTCGGTAGGGCGCGCGGGCGGAGGCCGGCGGGCGCGGCGCGGCGCGGGGCGCGGGCCGAGGACAGCTGGGGGGCCCATGGGGTGCATGGTGTAGGTGGTGGCGGCGGGGGTGCGGGAGCCATACGCCCGAACGCGCCAGCCGCTGGGGCGGGGTGGGGCGGGGCCACCGGGCCCTCCCTTTTGTCTCGCCGGCTGGCGGGCGCGGCTGCCGGAGCGCCTGCGCGACAAGCCGGCCCCGCTCATGCCGCAGTGGCGCCTGCGCACTGATCGCTTGGCGCGCGTCAGCGGCCTCGCGCCGGATCGTCAGCCCCACCCCTTCCCGGCCCGACGATTCCACTGAGTGAGCGACGCAGGGGCGGTAGGTGGGCTGCCACGCGTTCCCTGACGGATCTCTCCGGCCTTTCTGCTACAGCGTGAGTTCGGCGGCCTTCTCTCTCTGGATTCTGCCTTTGTCTTCGATGAGAGCGTTGAGTCTAGGGGACTGACGGCGAGGTGGGGTTTGCGCACGGGCACTGCCCCCCTCGTTCTCAGCCCTCGGCAAGTGGTTGGCCCCAGACCTTCATTTCCCGTGCGCTGCCTGGGTGGCCCTCCCTTTTCTCAGCGCCCCTCGCTCGGCTCGCGATCCTCCTCTGTAATCGCTGCGTCCTTTTCTGGCGTGTGAGTACCGCGGCCCCGCGGGAAGGGGCTGTGCGCGCTGGACAGACCCGAGGGCTGGGAGGGCGGGCGGGCGGCGCGGGCGCCAGCGCCGTTAGGGACCGTGGCGCAAGTGCTGACGGTGTGCCGGCCTAGGGTTAGTGGACCAAGTGCATCTCCCGGCGCGGGCGCAGAGGGGCGGGGTCGGCGGCGCCCACGTGGCGCGGGCTCTAGTGAGCACTCCAGAAAAGGTGGGGATCCCCGTCCGAGGCTTGATTCTCGTGTCGGCTCTGCGACCTCAGTCTTAACCCAGCATGACAAGGACACCAGCCCAGCAGTTGCTGGGTCCGTGGCCCTTCCGCTTGCCAGTCACGTGCTTGTTGTGCATCTGCGGGCCAGGGTCTGGTAGTACTTAGATGGCCTGTTATGTGCCGTGGAGTCGATTCCAAGACTGTAAATCTTTACGGGAGCAGAAAGCCACATCTTTCTCCCGCGGAACAGCTGGTAGTTTCGAACTGCTGACTGTGAGATCAGCAGCCGGATTCGTAACCACTACGCTGCCAGAGCTCCTAGGGACGCGAAAAAGAACGTGAAGGACGGTCTATCCTAGGCCTACTGGGTTCTCTGAGTTGGGTGGAGCAAGAAGCAAGAGTCACTTGTATTTTCAGCAGATTTGGGGGACTCCTTTCTTGACGGGGGGTGGGAGCTGAGTCACTTATGAGCACCGGCCCGCCAATGGTCACCTTACGGCAACCCCCCCCAGCTCCGATCTTGAGTTTAAGACTGTGGGGATGCATGCTGCCTTCCGCTCTCCTGTGTGCTAAGCTTGAACCAGGAGTGGGGTGTATCTCCCTAACAGTCTTTTTATCTGGGGAGTGAAGTGTCCTCAGGACCCCCGTGCGCAGACACTGGGAAACCGCGGCCAGCTGACAGCTCCTGGAAGCCTGCAGGGGGGAGGGCTGAGCAGGAATCCCTGCAGGTGTGCTTGCTTTGCGCCTTAAGAGTTGGGGACCCTCGCGTTCCCTGTAAGCAAGCTCAGGGCGTGCAGGCTCACCCTACATAGAGGCACCTAGTGACGCTAGAGCCCACCACCCCTGTGGTCACAGGAACGTGGAGCTTGAGTTTCCCAGCTCTCAGCTGTGTGTGAGGCCAGGAGGTAGTGTTGGTGGCTATGGAGTGGCCAGATAGAGGCTGCCAGTGTAGGGAAGCGAATGATGTTCCCAAGCTGGGCTCCCAATCGAACTGACTGGAAGCAGTTTGCTGTTCCTGGGTCTGGGCCCGGCAGCATCCTGGCTAGAATGTCGGGGCACAAGCCTCATGCAGAAACCCAGGCAGGAGAGCTGTTTAGGGGGGTTTGGGCTGTGGTGTTTCGCTGTCAGGTGACCACAGTCACCTCGTCTGGAGCTTCCCCTTGCGGCTGATTAGCCACTGGCCACACTCCAAAGTGCTCATAGCTGCCGCTTGGACAAGACCACAAGAAAGTTCTGTTGAGCTGGACACTGGGAGCAAGCCCATTGTGTACGTGGCTGTTAATTGGGTGGTGTGTCCAGACGATGACAAGTGTGAAGAACTGAACAAAGGGGCTGGTCCTGCTGGACACCCAGGCAGGCCCTCCAGCGAGCGTCCCTTTGCTGTGGACTGGAAGCCCTGTGGTCAGGAGTGTCTTTGGCAGGCTGCTGCCTGGTCCAGTCACCGGCACCGGACGAAGCCTCCCAACTCCAGTGGCCGCAAAGTGCCCGGTTGCCTACAAACCCCTCAAATCCAATGTCCATCTTGCTGCTGCTGGTCAGTGTGTTCCGTTTGCAAGTCCTCCCGGCTGCAGACTTTGCCAGGCACCTTGAGAGGCAAGAAGAAGGTGCGATTCTTCCCAGCCAGCTCTAACCAAACCAAGACCCTCGCATGTTTCTACTGCTAGTCAGAGGCTGTCCCTGCCTGGGCCACAAGCTGGACTCCTGGGAGGAGGAGGCTGTGTCCTCTCGGGAAAGGTGCTGGTGTGACCAGCAGTGATGTGGCTGCTGTTCTGTATCCGCCACTACAGCATCCTGCGATCCTTCGTCCTCCGGCCGTCCCTGCTGTGCTGGGCCAAGCTGTGGGTGGGGATGGGCGTGCGTTGGTAGACATTGGGGTCTCTGGGAGCACGGAGACGTAGACTGGCTTTTCCTGGGAAGGCGGTGCTCTCTAGTGGATCACGTGTGGAGCGCCCGTGGCCCTGCCGAGCACATGGAAAATCCCTGTCAGTGGACATGTTTTGTCTGACCCCCTCTGCTTCCCTGGGTGTATGCGGTAGCATGGGCTGTACAGAGGAGTCACCCACCTGCCTGTTCCTGCTGAGGAGGGGAGGGGAGCAGAGTCCCTGGGGTTCCAAGGTGCCATCTGGGCTTCCCCTCTATGGGCTTGGGACAAGAATGTGCGTCTCTGGCCTGTTGGCCATCTTTGAATGGGCTCTACAGTTCCATCCTCTGTGTGACCTTGGGGACCTGTGCCTGGAACTGCTCTGTAGGAACTTGCTGGCCCAGCCATGGTGTGGGCACCAGCTCTGTAGAAGGGTGCCCAGTGGGCTGGCTGCCCCGTGGACCTGGTGGCAGTCTGGCCTTGGCTGCCTGAGCTGACCTCTGGGTGCCTGTGCCCCTGCGCGCCCACCCACCCTCACTTTCCTACTGCCTCTAATCTTGCTGTCTTTCCTTCCTGCTGTCCCAGGAGTTCAGCAAAAGTAAGTACCACCTGTCCCCGCGCGCCGCGCGCCATGGTTCCTTCCATCTGCTCCAGCCCAGGGACCCGACCTCTGCCTCGCAAGCTCTGCTGTCCCTTGACAAGTAACTACTGCTTGCCCCGAGCTGCCCCCCAGCAGAGCATGGACACAGAGTCTGGAGGGGCCTGCTGTAGCCATGGGGAACTAGAATGACCCCAGCTGACAGGTGATGTCACAATGGCCAGCCCCCTGGACTCTGCTCCCGCCTCCCTCACTGCCTCTGCCCCGGTGCCTGAACTTGGTAGGCAGAGGCTGCCGCGTGGGGGCCAGGGGGGAATCTAGAGCCTGCTCTTTGGGATAGGAGAGGGTCAGAGAGGCTGCAGCCAGGCTGTCTGGAGAGGCTCTCTCCTGACACGGCAGGGTGCCATGAGGTCCAGCAGTGCTCCCAGTCACCTGGGACAGCGCCTCACTCAGCAGACTTTCTGCTAGGGGATCCCCTGCATGCAGAGAGTGGGGCACCCAGAGACCCTGCCAAGTGAGGAGCGGTGTCTGGGGGCTTCCTGAGCAGCAGGAGTGGAGGAGGTGAGGGCAGGGCCATTTCCCTGGTGGGTGTTGTGCTGATGGTCAGTCATCTGTGTGACCTGTGAGTCATCCAGAGGGCAGGGAGGGACAGGCATCCAGCCCCTTCTGCCTGGGGGAGACTTGAGATTGCAGGGCCAGAGGCGTGTTCACGCCATTGCCACTGTAGGAGCTCAGGTAGAGTTTGTAAGTGCCTCTCCCTGCTGTACCACCAAGTGGTGTTCCCTTTGTCCTTTGGTTCAGGTGGGTGCAGACACTCCATCTGCCTGTCTGCTTGGGCTGCCTTTCAGACCCCTTACATCTCCCTTTGAGAAGCTTGTTTTTTGAGCATCTCTGGTGCCTGTGGTCCAGGCTTCCACACAAGGTGGCCAAGTGGCCTGGACACCTCACACATGACTTGCCTTCCAGAGAGAGGACAGGCCATGTCTCAGTACAGCTGCGTCCCAGGTGTGCCATGGAATGCACTGAGACTTTCCAAGTGACTTATCATTTCTCTGGAAGTCTGAGTCCGCTCTGAGTTCAGTCCGTGGAATGGAGGGAGGCTGGGAACGTGCGTTCCCTCGGCCCCGTGGGAGCCGGGACCCGTGTCAGGACAGGAAAGATGCACTTTTGTCATTAAACACACACAATACATGTTTTCTGCTTTACTTAGTGTCCCTGTGGATTCGACTCTCGAGTCCTTCCATGTATTCCACGGAACCCCCTTGGGAGGCGTCCCCCAGCCCCTGCCGAGCAGACTGAGGAAGGCGTGGGGGGGGCAGCCCGCCTGTCCCACTGTGTTGCAACTGCCTTCTTGTGCTTGCTTTTCACGGCTGCGCCGGGAAGATGAGGAGCAGCAAGGCCTCGTGCGCCCTGGAGACCGTCTGGGAGGACAGGCACAAGTATGAGGAGGCAGAGAGGCGCTTCTACGAGCAGGCTGCCGCGCAAGCTGCCGCCTCCCCCCAGCAGCTCCTGGCCGTGGGCACCATGAATGGGCCTGGCCAGGAGACCGGGGACACGGAGGTGGGGGAGGCGTCCGACATCAACAGCAGGGCTGACCCCAGGAGGACCCGAGCCACGAAGAGGCCGCTGCAGAAGAAGAGGAAACGCTCCCCGCGGAGCTGGCTGGGCCCAGCCGACCTGGCTTTAGTGGGCCTCTCTGCCGACCATGTGTGGCTGGACAAGCCACTTTTCGACCGGGCGGAGAGCGCCTACTGCCAGAGGCTGGCCGATGTGGCTGCCCCAACTGGCCGGCCACTGGCCCTTGCCCCTCGGGGCCCCTGCATCCATGGCAGCCAAGTGGCCTGCCACCATGTGACCTGGGGCATCTGGGTCAACAAGTCCTCCTTTGACCAGGCTGAGCGAGTGTTTGTGGAGTGGTCTCAGGCCCTGCTGCTGGTCACAGAAGGGCGCAGTGGACAGGGCGCCCCCGACACGGGCCAGAGGCCAGCTGCCCCTGTCCTGCCCCTGGCCCGCCAGCCTAGCCCACCAGTCAACGGCCAGCCACCCCTGGGCAGCCTGCAGGCGCTGATGCGGGAGGTGTGGCTGGAGAAACCTCGCTACGATGCAGCTGAGCGGGGCTTCTATGAGGCCCTGTTTGATGGCCACCCCCCCGGAAAAGTACGGCTGCAAGAGCGAGCTGGGCAGAGCGAGGTCGCCCGGCGAGGCCGCAGGGACCGACGGGGCCGCCACACTGTGGGGACCAAGCGGGTGGGGCCTCGGCGGGCTGATGGGGAGGCCCCTCCTGCCCTACCCTACTGGTACTTCCTGCACAGAGACTCGGAGGTCTCCTGGCTTAGCAAGCCCACCTACGACAGGGCCGAGTGTCGCCACCATGCCGCCCAGGCCCTGCGCGTGGCCTGGCGCCTCGAGGCCACCCCTTTGGCCCACTGGCCCACTCCCCGATCCAGCCCATCCGTGTCCAGCCTGAGACCCAAGTAGGACCACATTCCTCGCCCACCCTGGGGGCCCCTGAGACCCCTAAACCCAGCCAGTGTAATAGGGGCAAGAGCCCCCACCTTCCCCTTCTCAGATCCTGTGTCCCACTTAGAGTGGACAACTCCACGAGTAGGCAGGCATCTGGGTCTGGCACCTGGAGGGTGCGGAATTTGCTGGTGGGTAGGACTTAAACTTGGCTGGGAGGACCCCAGAGTGGAGCAGATGCCCGTCATCAGACAGCAGCCATGTGGGCAGAGTGGAATCCTTGGTCGTGGTGGGCCTTGGGAGGGGCTGTGGGGGAGCAGCGAGGGACCAGGTTAGAGTTGGTGGCAGAACAAGGATGCAGTCCCGGGCAGGTGCAAATCTGCTCACAGAGCGTGAGAGCCGCACTGTGAGGACTTGCCGCAGTGACAGTGTTGTCTCACGGGGGGTTTGGATTGGCAGAAATGTTGGGGTTTGCTGACTCCTGGTTCAGAGCTTTGGTTCTTGGTCCCCAAGTTTTCCTTCCACCTCTCAGTGGTCTCAGTGGTCCCACCTCGGTAGTTGGCGTAAGTTCTGGGTCCTCAGAGCAGCTGTGCCTGTAAGCTTGTGTGGTAGCACCGAGGTGCTTCAGTGGAAAGCCATTTTCCTGTGAGGCAGGGAATGTAAGTGGGTGTCTGGGCTAGGACGATGAACTGGTGCTTGTGGTTGGTTGGCGAGTATGGAAAACTCGGATCCTGCATGGGCAGTATGGGGAGTGGACCTCAGACCTGTGGGCGTACGGGAGAACCATAGCCTGGGGCAGGTGCTGCCCACCACCATGGGGGCCCAAGGAGGAGAGTTGGCATGAGGGAACATTTCTGCAAACCGGTGGTCTGGGCAGAGCCTCCTTGTTCTCTGCCTGGGGCACCCCATCCGAAACCAGGTATCCAAGTCCCTCTTTCCAAGCAATACCTGCTGTGCCAACAGCCCTCAGCACAGAGAGGGGTGGGCTTAGGCCCTGTGGGAGTCCTTATGGTTCCAGATGGTCTGCTAAGAGGGTCTGTAAGCGGTGGGTGGGTGTGGAGCAGGCTCAGCCTAGGAAACTGGGCAGGTGAGCTATGTGCTTCTATGGCCTGTCCCACCCCATGGACTTGCCACTTCTCCCCTGTCCTCAGCAGGAAGATGGCCACAAACTTCCTCATGCATGAGAAGATATGGTTCGATAAGTTCAAGTACGATGATGCTGAGCGGAAATTCTACGAGCAGATGAATGGACCCATGACGGGCTGCTCCCGCCAGGTGAGACCGGCCACACTCGGCTCAGTTCTGGGTTCCAGGATGGGCACCCACAGAGCAGTGACTTTACTTGAGGTGGTGGTCCTGCCTGCAGTCTTTGAAAGATGACTCTTAGGTGTGGCTCTTCCCTGGGCCTAGATACGAGACCACTGGTGTCCCTGTAACCCCAGCTGCTGCACCCCGCTGCACACTGTCGCTAGCTTTCCGCTCTGTGCTCCCCTTTTCCATCTCTCTGTATGAGATGACTTTTTAGGGGTTTTTGTTTTTTTAAAAAATAATTTTTAATGGGGGAAAAAAAAGCCCATGGTTCTTTCTGCACTGTCTGCAGGAGAACGGCGCCAGCGTGATCCTCCGGGACATTGCGCGAGCCAGAGAGAACATCCAGAAATCCCTGGCCGGAGTGAGTACGCCCCAGGCTGGCTGCGGGGCCCCCCGATAATGCTGGCCATTTTGGCCTTTGGCACAAAGGAGGGGTGCCGCGGGGCACTCTGACTCCAGGCCCAGAGCACCATGGGAGACACACTCACCTCTTCATGCTTGCCTTGCCCCTCCCTGAGGCTCCCTGCCCTCGATGGCTTCTCCTGGGGCACTGAGCTGAGCCTGGGCTGCAGCCGCGCTTCACAAACTGCAGGTGCTTGCTGGGGCGCGGGGGAGCCCTCTCTGCCGCCTACTTGCTCCTGCCTCCAGTGGCTGTCTTGCCATGCCTTCGTCTCACCCCGCCCCTCTCGGCTCACCACCACTACTGGTCCCCCCACAAGCTGTAAGTTCACCAAGTGTGCTGGGAGCCGGAGCCTGCAGCTTCCTATAGCCTGAGCCCCCCCCCACAGCTAGGATCAGGAAGTGGAGGATGTGTTGAGTTGAGTACTTCCTGCCCAGTGCTAGTCGGCCTGCAGAGACCCTGGAGGCCAGTAGATGAGTTTCGTCTGTCGTTGTAACAACCCACCTGCTCCACAGTTCGGGAGGTCAGGTCTTCAGTCCTCTTTGGGCTCCTGGTCCCAGCATCCACCTCACTACCTCCCCGTCACTTCTCTCTCCTGATGCCCTCTGGCTTATAAGGGTCATTTTCATTGACACCCTGGGATGACCACCCCATTGCAAGAGCCATAACTTGGTATCTGAAAAGCCTCTCCTGGTACCTGGGGACTAGGCTGTGGACACCCTTAGAGGCCATAATTCTGTCTAGCAAAGTCTGTCCCCCAAAGATTCGCTGTCCCCATTCTACATGCCCCCATCCCAGAGTCTCAATTCGTTCTAACATCAAATCAGAGTCGAGTCTTATCTGAATTGGGTGGGGACCTATGGTGCTAGGATCAGGCTGTCTGCTCCCACAGTCCAGTGGGGTCACAGGACGACACTCTTGTTCCAGACAGGAGACAGAGCAAGGAAAAAGAGTCACAGGCTCTGAGCAGTTTCCACATTTAGTCAGACAAACCCATTGGATTTACAGGATTGGGAGTCCCACCCCAGGACCGTGTGTTTGTAGAAGGCTGCGTTTCACAGCCTTTGTTTCTCACGTTGCCACTTGTGGTCCAAGCTGGTAGAGTGTTCTGTTTGCCATGTATTCACGCTGTGATACCGGAGGCTCCTCCACAGATCTCCCCTGGACCCCCCTCTTGCTCCCGTCACACCTCAGTGTACTGTGTGGGGCTGCTCTGACGCTGTGGTCCTGCCAGGTCTTACTCTTGTTTCCTGATGGAATCTTCTAACTTCATTGTGTTTGCCATCTGGATAGTCTGTTGTTGTGGTTGTAAAGTGCCGTCGAGTTGGTTCTGACCCAAAGTGACTCTGTATAGGGTTTCCGAGGAACAGCTGGTGAGCTTGAACCACTGACCTTGCAGTTCCACTGACTCTGCAGTGTGGCATATTAACCCACAGCGCCACTCACCCCAGGACTCCTGGATAGTCTGAGAACATCCCAGATCATTACCCAGCAGCCCCTCCCTCAGCCTCTAGGGTTCCTCTTGCTCTTTTCCTCTTTCTCGGGTTTATAAACAGCAAAAGAAAACCAGGCTGCATTCTCCCCGCTTTGCTGGGACGTGTCCTTAGTGCCCGGCTTGGCCTTGTGGCAGACAAGTTCTTTCTCTACCTGATGGCACGACCCACTTCTGCTAAGCTTTCTGCGGCTGTGCAAGTTGGTTCTGTGACTTGTCTCTTTTCCTCTGCACCCTCCTGGTCCTGCCGTGGGGCTCTTCAGTATGGTTCTGCTACTCTCTGAAATATGTTGTCTCTGATGCTTCTCACTGATAGTTAGCAGTCACCTGGATTGTGCTAGCCTCTACCCATTGGCCAATCCCAAGCCCCTTCCACTCTTGTAGGTGGTTCTCACAGCTGTCCTCACTCCTGCTTCCAGAATTCTTTCTGTTTCCTTGTTAAATGCCGTCAAGTTGGCTCTGGCCCTTAGCAACCCAGTACAGGGTTTCCGCTGAACTTATGGTTCCAACCGACCTTGCGATCCAGCACGTTATCCTGCAATGCCACACCAGGATTCATGAGAGCTGTCATAAAAAACCACCACAAACGACAGAAATGTATCCTCAGTGCAAAACCTGATGATGGAAACCCAAATTAGGTCTTCCTGCCGGGCTGTGTGCCTTCTGGGGACTGGGGAGGCGTCTCCTGCCTTTTCCAGCCAAGAGGTCAGCCACATCCCCTTGGCTCAGAGCATCTTCCAGTCTCTGCTGCCATTGTCATGTTGTGTTTCTGACCCTCATGATCATGTTGGATGGTCACCTGGATGATTCAGCCTCTAAGAGTCCTCTCTGCCGTGTGCAGTCCTGTGCAGAGATTAGGGCGTGGGCGTCTCTGAGGGCTGTCTGTACCCGCCCCCACTGCCAGCCTGCCACCCACACTTTCCCAGTGGTGGATGCTCCGGGCCTCCTGGCTCCCTCTCCTTTGGGATAGAGGCCAAGACCTTATTGGGGTTGGCTCCTGGGTCCGGGTCTTTGGGACAAGCAAGTGGGCACTCTCTAGGACCTGGGGACCTAGGAAGGACCTTGCTGGCCCAGCCCCAGGCTGGATTGGTTGAGGTCAGCTCAGCAGACCCTGGGACATCAGCCTGGGGACTGAAGGCCGTGGGTGGGCTGGGATGACTGGACTCAGCCCTTCTTCCTGCAATCAGCAGGTCTCTGAGGCTGGAGGCCTTGGTACCCGCCTCGGTTAGTTACAACCTAGTGCTAGGGAGACCTGTGTCCCAAGGTCAGAGCTGCTGCACCTCAGGGCTCTGTGGAGGGCTGGGGCCCTGGGTCCTTGGTCCTGTCCTGTCCCTGGGGCCTGCCCTGAGCCATTGAGAAGGGAATCCCACCTTGCTCACCTTCCCAGTTCCTCATCCAGTGGGACCCTCTCCCTGTCCCCAGGGCTGCTTGGGCAGCCCAGGGTAAGGTGGCCTCAGAACCCTATGGTGCTCAGACTCCGGCTCCAGGAAGTTGACATGCTTAGCCTGTGTCCGCATGCAAGGTGCAGGGAGGACATGGGCTCAGGGTTCCCTCGGGTTCCTTTCTAGCAGAGTACAGGAAGCTCCAGAGAGCTGATTCAGGATGGCGAGGTGGTCAGATGAGGACGAGGTAGGCCATGGCCGCCTGTGGGAAGGATAGTGTAGGAGTGGACTAGCCCAGACTGCTGAACTGACCCCACCTGTGTTCTCATACCCCTCATTAAGGACTGGTAGGGTGTCTGGGCCATACTGTGGGATGGGCGCACCTGGTCAGGGCTGAGGCAAAGCTTGGTGAGCGCCCCCTCCCATTTGCAGCTCCAGGCGGTGCTGCCCAGCCCCCCGGAGGCCCCAAGCCAGGCTGCCTCAGGGACTGTAAGTCTTCCTTGTGTTAGTGTCTGAGGGGGCCGACGGGGGCGGGGGGAGGGGGTGACCATGGGCCCCCTGCACCTGTCCGTCCGTCCCGTGGCCCTCTGGATGACTTAGGCCGCTAGATCTTGTGGGAGGGTGGGCTGCATTGAGGGGCTTCGGCTCCCCCATTACCCTGTTCTGGAGGAGCTGGGCTCCCAGGCTCCTGGGCAGCTGTGGGATTCTAGTGCAGACGGGCCCTCTCTGCCTCTTCCTTGCAGAGTTCTGGGGCACCCAGTGGGCCTGGTGGGGACCACAGCCAGCTTGTCGTACGCATCGCCAGCCTAGAGGTGGAGAACGAGAGCCTGCGCAGTGGTGAGGACCCACCTAGTGGCAGCCCTCCCCTCCACCCCACCCCCCAGCCCTCGGAGCACTGACCTTCCTGGGGTGTCCATCTGATGGTGATTCACCCCCACAGTGGTGCGGGACCTGCAGCAGGCTCTCTCCAAGCTGGAGGCGAGGCTGAGTTCACTGGAGAGAAGCTCGCCCGGCCACCGCGCCACCGCCCCACAGACCCAGGTGAGTGTGGGCAGCCTGTGACCCAGAGACCCAGAGCACCCTGTGTGGGGGCACTGCTCCATGGGCTTAACCTCCCTCCCTCTGGCAGCACGTATCTCCCATGCGCCAAGTGGAACCCCCAGCCAAGAAGGCGGCCACACCTGCGGAGGACGATGAAGACAACGACATTGACCTGTTTGGCAGTGACGAGGAGGAGGAGGACAAGGAGACGGCCCGCCTTCGGGAGGAACGACTTCGACAGTATGCCGAGAAGAAGGCCAAGAAGCCCACACTGGTGGCCAAGTCCTCCATTCTGCTGGATGTCAAGCCTGTGAGTGGGCGCGGGTGCTCCGGGGCTAGGGTGGGCCTCAGTGTTGACCAGTCCACCCCACGCTGCTGGGTGGCTGACCTGAGGCCCTTCGTGTCCATGACAGTGGGATGATGAGACAGACATGGCTCAGCTGGAGGCCTGCGTGCGCTCCGTCCACCTGGACGGCCTGACCTGGGGAGCCTCCAAGCTGGTGCCGGTGGGTTATGGCATCCGCAAGCTGCAGATCCAGTGTGTGGTGGAGGACGACAAGGTGGGCACCGACCTCCTGGAGGAGGAGATCACCAAGTTTGAGGAGCACGTAAGTGACTGGCTGTAGGGACAGGGGAGCAGCTGGGAGGAGGCCCTGAGGGAAGCCCACTTTCCTGGGGGTTCCTGGAGCCAGTTGGAGCGGGCAGGGTTTCTGGGAAGGCTCCCCTGGTGACCCGCCTCTCCCTGCAGGTGCAGAGCGTGGACATTGCCGCTTTCAACAAGATCTGAGCCCTGTGTGTGTGCCTGCCCGTGCCCTAGCCTACCACCATTAAAGACAGTCCACTACCCTGCATCCTGCTCTGCTGGTGTCCCCCAGGGGCCAGGGTTGGGTCCCTGGGTTCTGTGCGCCGTCTCCTTGGCCAGGCTCCCAGCTTACCTTCCCCCAGGGTACAGGAACCTTGGCTGGTGTCCCCTCCATGGCCTCTGGCCTCCCATTCCTCCACCTTTGCAGTCAGTCCTGCTCCTGGTTCAAGCGGTTCCCAGAAAAAAGACAATTTGTTTCCCCACCCAACTTCCTGTTGGGACGAACATCTTGGGCCCACCCCAGCTCTGTGTCCCACCTTTCAACAAGGATTGGATGCCCTTTAGCCCTGGAGGCCTTGCTGACCCGCCCCTCGCCTCTCCCACTGGAGTCTTCCGGGCTGCCTCTGTCCCTCTGTTCAGTGCCCTGTACCCGGCTGGACTACACACAGTACCCTGCAGTTGTGCCCCCAGCGGCCCTAGCTCCGTGGTCCTTTCCCTCTCCTTCCTGGACAGCTGCTGAACCCCATTCTGCTGGTTGGGGGAGAGGTGCTTGGGGCTGCTCTGGTGGGATCTGAACTGTGGGGATAGACTGCCCTCCAGGGGAGTCCTGGGGTGGCGCTGTGGCTTAATGCAAAGCTAGACTGCAAAGTCGTTTGATGTACAACGTCACTGGTTCAAGCTCACCAGTCACTCTTTGGAAACCCTATACAGGGTCACTATGGGTTGGAACTGACTCACTTAACAACAGGGGGTTGTGGGGACCCTTGCCCTGGCAGCTCCTTCAGGTCAAGGGTGACACTGGGTGGGATGACCAGCCGCCTTCCCTGGCACCAGTCTTGTACCTAAGAGATATGCTGGTGACCAAAGCGGGGTCAGCTCAGCCTCCCAATGGGCAAGATGAAGACTGGTCACTCTAGAGCTCCCACTATCTCTGTACCAGGGGTAGGCACACTGGTGGGGAGAAGGGTCCCTGTAGCTAGAATAGGCTATATCCAAGGTGGGGTTCTGGTGTGGCGCTGTGGGCTAACGCATCAGACTGAAAAAGTCATTTTGAACTGCAAGGTTGGTGGTTCGAGTCATCAGCTGCTCCTTGGAAACCCTATACAGGGTTGCTATGGGTCAGAATCGACTGGACAGTACTTAACAACAGTGGGGTTGGGGAGCTGCTGACCTCCACTCCCCCACTCACTCAACCTCATCTGCTGAAGCTAGACTAAGTCCAGTTATAGGCCATAGTACCAGAGACTGGTACAGAGGCGGCAGCAAGGGGCTCAAATAGTAATGATTTATGACCTTGGTGCAGGACCGGGCAGTGTTTCCTTCTGTTGGGCATAGAGATCGCTACTAGATGGCACCTAACAACAAAGTGTCTGAAATGTCCCCACCCCCTGCATAACTGCTTGCTTTTTTTAAAATGTTTTATTGTGAATTATGTGATAGTTTACATGGGAGAACATTAGTTTTACATTCATTCTATATGGGTTCATTGCTATGGTTACAATCCCCTCCATGCATCATCAACCAACCAAAGGGTATACACTACAAGCCTGCCCCCCAACCCCCACCCCCATGTCGTCAGTACACAGCCCCTCTCCCTCTCTGTGTCTAAAGGCCCCAACTGCTCCATCTCTCCACGTTATCTCTGCATCCATCTCAGGTATCACTGCTTCTCTGGGTAGGGTCCCAGGGACCTCCGCACCTAAATTGGAAAGTTAATCACTTCCCTTTGCTACAAAACGTCTACCTTTACATTTCCATTCCTCACCAGCAATAACTACTTTCTTTACGTCTGACTCCAAACATTGTATGATAAGTCCTTAGCTAAAATCGTCCCGCGACCCTCTACGCGACTCTACAGGGTTTCCGAGACTAAATCTTTTACGGGAGCAGAAAGCCTCATCTTTCTCCCACGGAACAAGTGGTAGTTTCCAACTGCTGACCTTAAGGTTCGCAGCCCGTTACGTAACCACTACGCTACTGGAGCGCGGGGCCAAGCAGAACCTTGGAAAATTTGGTGCTCTAACCACTGGGGGCGGGCTGGGGCGTTTCCACTGGCTGGGGCACGTCATGCGGGGCGGGCCAGCTAGGCCAGAGTCCGCAGGCATCGGAGTGGGATGGCGGCGACACAGGGCACGGAGCAGGAGCCAGACCCCGAGGGCCGTGCAGCAGCACGACCGCTGCTTACCGACCTCTACCAGGCCACCATGGCGCTTGGCTATTGGCGAGCGGGCCGGGCGCAGGATACCGCCGAGTTCGAACTCTTCTTCCGTCGCTGTCCATTCGGTGGCTCCTTCGCCTTGGCCGCTGGGCTGCGTGATTGCTTGCGTTTCCTGCGCGCCTTCCGTCTGCGGGACACAGGTAGCCCCGGGTCCAGCTCCTTGATCAGCCAGTCCAGGGCCGTGCCCGCCCCGTCCCACGAGTGTTTCTGTCACTCCCAGATGTGCAGTTTTTGGCCTCAGTGCTACCACCTGACACGGAACCTGCGTTCTTTGCGCACCTGCGGGCCCTGGACTGCTCTGGCGTGACAGTGCGGGCCCTGCGCGAGGGTTCTCCAGTCTTCCCCGGAGTGAGTGCGCACTGGCTGGGCGCAGCGGGGTGCGTCTCCAGGGGCTGGCCCAGAGCTGACTGCGCCCCCCGCCTCCCCCCGTAGGTGCCGTTGTTGCAGGTGTCCGGGCCGTTACTGGTGGTGCAGTTGCTGGAGACTCCGCTGCTCTGCCTGGTCAGCTACGCCAGGTGGGGCCAGAAGGGGGCAGTCCGTTAGACTCGCAAGGACCTGCGGACCCAGCTCCAAAAGGGCGGGCTCCTGAGGGCGTGATTCTGGGACGAACTGCACCGTGGGGCGGAGCCTGGGAGGTGGGGCTCCTTGGATTTCGGACCTAAACTCTCTCACGCCGAGACTCGGGCCGACAATGGAGTTGTGGGGATGGGGGGGTAACTCCAGGCGACTTGGGTGTCTAACTGAACTGCACCCCGGATCCCCCTGTACCCTTGCTCCCCGCAGTCTTGTGGCCACCAATGCTGCAAGGCTTCGTCTGATAGCGGGTCCGAAGCGGCGGCTGCTGGAGATGGGTCTGCGACGGGCCCAGGGTCCCGATGGGGGGCTCACAGCCTCCACCTACAGCTACCTGGGCGGTGAGGGCCAGGGAGGGAGGCAGGCCCCAGCCCCTAGGCCTCCCCTCCCCTCCGCCCGAAGCCTCCCAAACCTCGTGTCTCCCTTCCCCAGGCTTTGACAGCAGCAGCAATGTGCTAGCTGGCCAGCTGCGAGGTGTGCCTGTGGCCGGAACCCTGGCACACTCCTTCGTCACTTCCTTTTCAGGCACTGAGGTGCCCCCTGACCCGGTCAGTAACCCCGCCCCTCTTCTGCCTAGAACCAAAAGGCAGAGCTTAAGTGAGCCCTTGCTGACCCAGCAGTGAGTCCCGGCTGACATGGCCCCCTCCCCTGCCCGAGTTACTACTCCTCCCCAGATTCCCAACCCCATCTCACAAGCACCCTCCACAGATGCTGGCCCCAGCCACCGGTGAGGGTCCTCCTTTGGACCTGGCCACCAGAGTGGAGGTGTGGCTGAAGCGAGTGTGTGCCCACCTAGGGCTGGGGGTGCAGGAGCCACACCCAGGGGAGAGGATGGCCTTTGTGGCCTATGCCTTGGCCTTCCCCCGGGTCTTCCAGGGCCTGCTGGACTCCTATTGTGTGCAGAGGTGAGGCCCCTCGATCAGGGATGGACTTGGCAGAGCTGGCTGCAGCTCCTCACATGGTTCTGTCTGCAGGAGCGGTCTCCCCAACTTCCTGGCCGTTGCCCTGGCCCTGGGGGAGCTAGGCTACCAGGCAGTGGGTGTGCGGCTGGACAGTGGTGACCTGCTTCAGCAGGCCCGGGAGGTCCGCAGGGTCTTACAGACCACTGCAGCCCAGTGAGTGCCAGAGCGCGCCCAGCTAATGGGAAGGAGGGCAGGAAGGGTGGTCAGTGCAGCTAGGATTGGGGTTACCTTGGGGCTTAGTTCCTAGGGGAAGTGTAGCAGTAGGAGGGATGGGGGCCAGGGTGAGGCGGGAACTCTGCTCAGAGACTGCTCTCCCACTCGCCACAGGTTCCAGGTACCCTGGCTGGAGACAGTGTCCATTGCTGTCAGCAATAACATCGATGAAGAAGAGCTGGCCCGCTTGGCCCAGGAGGTTGAGGGCAGGCTGGAGGGTGGCTGGGAGGGTCCCAGGGCTCCTACCAGATTCCAACTGAGCTGATGCACCTCCCCATCACAGGGCAGTGAAGTGGACGTCATTGGCATTGGCACCAGCCTGGTCACTTGCCCCCAGCAGCCTTCTCTGGGCTGTGTCTACAAGGTGGGGCCTGGATCTAGGGCCTAGGTGGGGGCCGATCCAGGGGAGCACGGGGGCAGTGAGGGTGCCCTCTCTCTGCAGCTGGTGGCCGTGGGGGGCCAGCCCCGGATGAAGCTGACCGAGGATGCGGACAAGCAAACGCTGCCAGGGAGCAAGACTGCCTTCCGACTCCTGGCTTCAGACGGTGAGTCCTCACTCCTCCAGTGCCCCCTTCAAGGCCCCCAGCCCCCACTTCAGTCTCAGTCTCTATGGCTTCCCCAAAGGGTCTCTGCTGTTGGACCTGCTGCAGCTAGCTGAGGAACCACCACCCCAAGCTGGGCGGGAGCTGAGAGTGTGGCCGAGGGGCGCCAAGGAGTCAATGACCTTGCGGCCAGCACACGTGGAACCGCTACTGCAACTCTGGGTCCAGCAGGGACAGGTAGCCACTTCCCAACCCCTCTGTCTACACTTTCAACTTCAACCATGGTCCACCTCAACTCTAGCTCTGACCCTAAGCCCCTCCCCCTCCGGCTGCATGATGTCCACCCCATCTCTCCCTGTCTCCCTCTTCCTTCAGCTGTGTGAACCCCTCCCATCTCTGGCTGAGTCTAGAGCCTTTGCCCAGCAGTCCCTGAGCCGTCTTAGCCCTGCTCACATGTGGCTGAAGAGTCCCGAGATGTGCCAGGTGGGTTGAGGTCCTCCTCCGGCTAGCCCCTAGTGCCTCATCATCCCTCATCATCCCTCCTCTTGTCCTGCAGGTGGCGCTGTCTGAGCAGCTGCAGGCCCTGGTGGAGAGGTTGAGGGCTCAGGGTCTGCAGAGAGTATCTCAGGAGCTGGGGAGCTGAACACAACATGAGTCAGTTTGTCTTGCATCATGTGTCTGAGTCATTCGTCCATCCCCCAGGGCTCCCGAAACGCTCAGGGATCAGGGCCCAGGGAAGCCAGGGGGCGGGGCCGAGGGCTGCAGTTCTGTGCTAAAGCCCCAGGTGGGCCAGGGTGTGTGTGTGGGGGGGGGGCCTGGGCTGTGTGGGGAGAGGCAGACTGGTCACACACGGAGGGACTGGGGGTCCACACCTAGTGCTCTACCGTCTGGACTGGGGTCAGTGGGGATGTGCTTGGCCACGAACTGAGGAGAAACCTGATAGGCCTGTTCCCGCTGCTGCCAGCCCCTCACAGTCCTGCCCCTGGAACCCTCGGTGCCACACCTGTCCTCTATCTCCTTCACTGCTCCCTGTAGTCCTAGCAAGCACTAGCATGCAGGGACCCAACTCCCAATCCAGCAGCCCTGGGCGCTAGGCGGGGCTCTGTTGGGCTGCTCTCTCCTTGCGGCCAAGTTGCTCCAGGTCTCGGCCTGTTTTGTCAGCTGGGGCCCCTAGAACTGCTCACTCTGGGAGGTTCTAGACTCAGCAGGCAGTGGAGGGAGGGAGCCCACGGCAGTGCTGAGTGTTTGGTGGAGCTTCCAGGAACACTGCTGCCTGCTCAGGTATTCAGCCCAACTGGCTCCTCCAGCTCCCCTGGGGCGCTGGGCTGGGCGGCACCCACTGTGGTTGTGGGTGGAGGCCAAGGGGAGGATTTGGGGCAGAGGCCCCATTGGGCCAGCTCAGGGCAGTGTGGAGAAGGAGGGAGGGAGACACACATACCGGGTCCTGCCCATAAACCACCAGCTCCCAGGTGCCCCTTCATTGCCAGGACTCAGGAACCCTGGGACCCGGCCAGGATGGGGGCATCACCACAGTGTTGTTTGGGGCTTATGAGGTTCAGGCCCTACCCCAAGGCTGCCTAAGCAAGCACAGAGGTGGTGACAGCTCTCCCAAATATCCCCAGGATGCCAGCTGAGTATGGAACGCAGGGAGGTGGCCAGACTGCTTCAGGGCTGAGTCAGACAAGGCTGACGCACTCTCTCTGGACCCTGTTGGGGCCTCCTGGGGCTATCTGCACCTGCCAGGGTCCACCACCAGGAGAGCCGAGTCAGGGCCAAGGGCCTATCTTGGCCTTTCCCTGGAAGAGACCCCACCCACCTCACCTGGGACCTTGTCTCTCCCTCTGACGTGACAACTTTGCAGCCTGGGCAAGAGGACCCTATAAAAGCCACTTCCTACAACAGACACCTGGGGGCACCTCTTCATGCACGCAAGCATGCGCGCGCATGCACACGCGCACCACCACGCCTGGCCCTTGGTCCCGCCTGGGACCTGCTTCTAGGTCAGGCCCGGGCACGACTTCCCAGAGAAGCTGTGACAGGTGCTGCCAGCCGTGCCCTGCTGAGCAGCTTAGCCTGGAGGGCAGCCATGGCAGGGGGTGTGTGGGGCCGTGGCCGGGGAGCCCCTGTGGGGGCACTGACGCTGACAGCGCTGGCAGAAGGCATTCGGGACAGTCAGGGGCAGGGTCTGGCAGCCACTTCGCCGGGCTCCCAGACAGAACCCCAGGAGCGTGAACCTGATGCCCAGGCCCTGGTCCCTGAGGCTGAGCCCGGGAGTGTGGCCACTGAACCCACAGCTGGTAATGAGCCCTGCTTTCCACCCAGTGTCCAGAATCCTTCCCCTGAGGGGGCCCACCAGGTGAGACAGAGTGGGGGCAGTCTGGCGTGCCCACAGGGGTTGAGGGCTTGGGCACAGTGGGAATGGGGAGCAGAGGTGAGCTAAGAGCCACCCCTGTCCTAGGTCTGCCAGAGTCCCGGGGAGGAGGGGGCCTTAGCAGACCTGGCTTTGTATACGGCTGCCTGCCTGGAGGAAGCTGGCTTTGCCGGGACCCAGGTGACAGCGCTCACCCTGTCCTCAGCCCTGGAGGCCCGAGGAGAGCGGCTGGAGGACCAGGTCAGACCCTTGCCTTCCCACCCTAAACCTTCCATCTTTCTCTTCCATGGCTCTCCCATGGGATCCTGCCCCCTTCCCTTCCCTGTCCACTCCTGCTGTTCCCCCTCTAAGGGCAGAGGTTTGACCCATCCCTTTCTGGCTCTCAAAGGCTACAGGTGGGTGCTGGGGATCAAGGTCCCCTTCAATAGCTGACTTGTGCCCCCTCTGGCCCAGGTGCACGCTCTGGTTCGCGGGCTGCTGGTACAGGTACCCAGCCTAGCTGAGGGGCGGCCCCGAAGGGCAGCGCTGCGAGTGCTGAGCGCACTAGCTCTGGAGCATGCGCAGGACGTCGTATATGCACTGTTGCCACGCTCGCTACCCCCAGACCGGTAACCATCTGTCCACTGGCCTGGTCCTGGGCCCTCATTAGTCTGGGCCCCACGCAGCTTCCTTCCTCCTTCCTGCTTGGCTGTCCAGTCTGCTCAGGAGAGGTGGAGGAGGCCAATAGTCAATCCAAGCTTCGGGTCATCAGTCTGTGTTCCTGGGTGGGGAACCTGCCTTCCCTGTCTAGCTTGGGGTGCAGCCCTGTGTGGGGGTGGGCACGCTGTTAGAGATTCTGTCTCCAGAACACCTTCTGCTTTGATTCCCTGGGAGAAGTTTCTTTGCCTTTGTTCTCAAGGATGATGGTTTGTGATCCCAGTTTGTTTACGTGGCTGGTCCCACGGCTTTCCCAGCGGACGGACCGACTCCCGTGTGGTGGGCTTAGTTGACACTTCATTTCTCTGGGATTCTGGGCATGGGGTAGTCTTCCGTGGGAATCCTAGGGACGGTCTCCACCCCAGCCCCTGTGCGCCTTGTCTCACTGCCGCCCCCGCACTTCAGGGCAGCGGCCGAACTGTGGCGCAGCCTGAGCCGGAACCAGCGCGTGAACGGGCAGGTGCTGGTCCAGTTGCTCTGGGCGCTGAAGGGTGCCGCCGGACCTGAGAACGAGGCGCTGGCGGTAAGTGACTCCCGCCCGCATCGCCAGGTGGGCGTGGCCAGTCAGCAAGGGGCAGGACAACAAGAATGTCCCGCCCGAGTCTGAGAATTTGGACCGGTCCTTTCTGCTGCAACCAGGGCCAGTCCCCGACTTGAGTGGGTCACTTGTTCCGCAGGCTACTCGCGCCCTAGGGGAGATGCTAGCCGTGTCTGGCTGCGTGGGAGCCACGCGGGGCTTCTATCCCCACCTGTTGCTCGCGCTGGTCACGCAGCTGCACGAGCTGGCCCGTGGCGTGCGCTCTCCTGAAACCCCCAAGGTTTGGGCTCCATCCCACCGAGGACCTCCACACAGTCACGCCAGGTGAGGGCGCACACGGGAGGTGGGGAGCATCGGGACCCTGGCCAGGCTCTCTTGCACTCACGGCCCCGCTGCCTCCATCTCCAGTTGTGCCGTGGAGGCCTTGAAAGCCCTTCTCACTGGCGACGGCGGCCGTATGGTGGTCACGTGCATGGAGCAGGCAGGAGGCTGGAGGAGGCTGGTGGGAACTCACACGCATCTGGAGGGCGTCCTGCTGCTGGCCAGGTGAGGACAAGCCCAGAACTGCCCCAGGAAGCTGGCAGTGGGCCAACTGCGGGGTCAGGGAGACGGGCCTGTGCGTGGCCAGGAGGGGGCTTCCCAGAGGGCGAGCTCCCATTTCCCGTCCTCCCTAGCGCCATGGTGGCTCATGCCGACCACCACCTACGAGGCCTCTTCGCCGACTTACTTCCCCGACTGCGCAGCCCCGACGACACGCAGCGCCTCACGGCTATGGCCTTCTTCACCGGGGTGAGCCCACTTCCCCGCCTGGCCTGGCGATCCGGGATGGGTGATGAATGGTAACGATGGACTCGAAAGGTGCTGACCCGTCTCCCTCACCCAGTTGCTGCAGAGTCGACCCACGACGCGGCTTCTGAGGGAGGAGGCTATCCTGGAGCGACTCCGCACCTGGCAGGGCGACCCGGAGCCCACCGTCCGCTGGCTGGGCTTGCTGGGCTTGGGCCATGTCGCGCTCAATTGTGGGAAGGTGAGGGGCGGGGCCAGGTGGGCAGGACTGGGGCGGGGCCTGTGAGGGCCTGCCCACGAATCTCTGCCCTGGCAGGTGCGACATGTGAACACGCTGCTGCCGGCGCTCCTGAGTGCTTTGGGCGAGGGTGATGCGCGGCTCGTGGGCGCTGCGCTGGGCGCACTCCGGAGGCTTCTGCTGCGCTCGCGGGCGCCCGTGCGGCTGTTGAGCACAGAGCTGCGGCCGCGCCTCCCGCCGCTGCTGGACGACGTGAGCCCCGCCCCGCCCCGCCCATCCGCAAATCCAAGTTCCTTTACACACTCCCTCCTGGTCGCCCTTTCTGGCCCTTGGGCCCTTCCCTCCCAGTTCCCGCCTCTCCTGGCCACCCCCCAGACTTAAGCCCTCCCTCACTTCCTTTGGTCCTTGCACCGCCCTGGTCGCCCCCTTTCCGCCCGTGTACCTCTCTGTCTTCCCTTGTACCGGGAGATTGCCCTAACTGCCCCTCTCCTATAGGCCCGGGACTGTGTCCGCGCCTCTGCGGTTGGGCTTCTCGGGACGTTGGTGCGGCGGGGCCGGGGCGGGCTCCGGGTGGGGCTTCGAGGCCCCCTGCGGAAGTTGGTGCTGCAAAGCCTTGTGCCGCTGTTGCTTCGCCTGCACGATCCCAGCCGCGACGCAGCGGAGGTCAGTGCTCCGGGCACAGCCCCCTTCCGTTCCCACCCTTACCTTGCCCCACCGGGCCACTTCCCAGGACCACAACAGCAGGTCTCATGGGTTCCCAGGTTCCAGGGTCTTCTTTCCTGGACCCCCATCCTCCAGCTCTACCTCGGGTGCCCCCATTGCTCGTCCTGGCTGGGTCCGGCCACTCCTCACCACTTCCTGCTCCCTTCTCAATCCCAGAGCTCCGAGTGGACCCTGGCCCGCTGCGACCAGGCCCTGCGCTGGGGCCTGTTGGAGGAGATGGTCACCGTGGCGCACTACGACAGCCCAGAGGCCCTAAGCCGTGTTTGCCACCGTCTGGTCAGTGGGGGCAGGGGGTGGGGTGGGGAATGACGGAGTCCTGGAGACAGCTGCCCACTTGGCTCAGTACTTGCCGGGGCGCCCGGCTGAGTACACTCTCCCCAATCTGAGTACCTGTGCCTACTAGCGCACTTGACCACCAGACTTGGCGCGTCCTCAGGAGTACCCCGGCCTTGGGCTTCTCTACCTGGACCAGTCCTTCTGTCCTGCCCTAACGCCTCCTGTTCTCAGGTTCAGCGGTACCCGAGCCACGTGCCCAGCTTCCTGAGCCAGACCCAGGGCTACCTTAGGAGCCCACAGGGGCCCCTGCGCCGGGCGGCCGCTGTGCTCATAGGTGAGGTCCGGGGTTGGCTGTGCTCATAGGTGAGGTCCGGGGTTGGCGTCCTGCTCGCTCCTGCACCCAGGGTTCTGTTGACGGCGTGGGGCCGGCACTCACGGGTTTGCCTTGCTCCAGGTTTCCTCGCCCATCACACCAGCCCCAGCCGCGTCAGTCAGGACCTTCTGGACTCTCTGTTCCATGGTGAGGCGCTGACTCTCCACCGCCTCCTGGGGACTAGGGTCCTGGAGAGGCGGTGGGAGTGAGGACCGCGGGGCTAAGTATGGGCGCCAGCTTTCCTGGAGTTCCGCCTCCCTGCCTGAGCTGTGTGGTCTTCTCTTCCCTACAGACTTGGGGCAACTGCGGAGTGACCCGGAGCCGGCCGTCTGCGCGGCGGCGCACGTGTCTTCCCAGCAGGTGGCGCTGCTAGCGCGGGCGCACAACAGACCCCCGGGCCTACGCTTTGCTTACCTGGCTCGCCTCCCCCGCCTCGCTCGCCTTGCTCGGCGCCGCGCGGGTCCTAAACGCTCGCCACCTGTCTACTCGGACAGCCCCTTTCAGCATCGGAGCGGTGCAGACCGCTGGGGCTGCTTCTGCCCAGGCTGAGCCAGTCCTTCCCGGCCCAGCGTGTAGGGGGCAGACTCTGAATCGCTTCATCTGATCTCATAGTGGGGCAGGGGGTGGGGGTGGGGGCGGGGACACCCCATTTGCCCTATTGCCAGTCCCTGCCCCAGATAATCTGCAGAGGAAGTCCCTTGGAGTTTGTGAAGCTTGGAGCCTGGGACCTGGCATTTCTGTCCACACCATTTCACCCAGCGGCCTTCACTTCTGTCCTCCTCTTGCAGCCTTACCTGTCTACTTCTCTGGTCTCTGTATGCCCCGTACTTCTGACATGACATGGGAGCAGACACCCATCCCCGCGGCACTTGGTCTCACTGGGGGACACTGGTCCCAATCTAGGGCCCCTACCTGTGCGTTCTGGCCTGTGACCTCTGCTCAAGGTCATCTGGCCCCTACCACGATCCGGCACCCTTCCACTCCTGTTCTTCACTGACCTCCCTGCTGGACACAATGCCCAGGATTACACCTGTGGGGTCACACCTCCATCCCCACTAGACTCTGAGCCCCTCGGGTAGAGCATGGAGCCCAGCGCCCAGGGGACACTAAGTCAGGGACTCCCACTATGGACGTTTCAAAACTAAGACCCCGATGCTCGGCCTTCTTTGATGTTTCCTCCACCCAAACACCTGCCTTGAAATGTCCTCTGAGCTGGTGAGACCTCCCTGGCTCTACAGGCCAGCAGGGACTTTGTCCTCAGCCTGTACCACCTCCCAGAGGGCTGGTGGGCACTTCGAGGGTAGGTAGTCCCTTTCACCCCCAGTTCCTGCATGAAAATTGTTTGAACACCTACAGCCCCAAGAGGACTGGCCCAGGGTTCAGAGTAAGCTGGGGCAGGGTCCAAGATCCAGGGTCAGCCTGTGACCATAGCAAGGCAGCCTGTGGCCAGGTTAAGAGATGGGGTTCATGCTGAGATAAAGCAAAGCTGCCCCACTCTTCTTGCAATAACAGACCTGAGCCAGGATCTACTGTCTGGCTATTACTGTCCATTCCCAGGTTAGGTTAGGGTTAGGTCAAAGGCGCATGGAACCAAGAGTCAAGTTCCATGTGTTTGTTCAAGTCTTCTGAAGCTGATTCAAAAACAGGAAATTCATCTCATGAATCAAAATGTGTTTGAATTGTTGAGTAGAAAACCAATTTGCTCAGTAAAGATTCACCCAAGTTACAATAAAAATGTTAGAAAAGGGGGAAAAACAAACTCTAAGCTTGTGCTGGGGATACAGAGGGAAAAAATTAAAAGAAATTCTTCAGGGAAATACAGATAAACTAAACCGGTGGGGGGGGGGGGGGGGGGAGGAGGAAGAGGCCCGGACTCGGAAGGAAGTAGGTTGAGTGGAGGCCGGGGTGGGGTGTTAGTCCCAGCCTCCCAGGATGGTTGAGAACATGGACGTGCAGCATGGCCTCATTCAGAGGCTGTGGACCGAGTCGGGGTCTTTGGCCCATGGAGGGCTCAGTTGTCTGGAGCAGTACCATCAGCAGAAGCCATGACCTCTCCCCTCACTGGGTCGCCTGGGAGGCAGCCAGATTCAGCTAAGCGTTGATGCCTGCTAAGTTCGACATCCCCCACCCCCACAGAGCAGACCCAAAGGAGATGCTCAGGAGAGAAGGCCTTCAGAAGAGAGGGCAGCAGGGGCTAGGTGGGCAGGACCTTCACTGGGGCAGATGAACTGTCAGCCCCACCCTGGTACCCTTAGAGGACAGGCACCATCCACGGAGGCTGGTTGTGGAGCAACACCCCCACATCACGTGTCTGCCTGTAGCTGCTTGTCTCCACCTCCCCTTGTTGGGCTCCACCCAGGAGCTGGAAGACTCCCTGGACTTAGCCGTGACCCGCACCCCCCCAGTTCCAGTGGAGTATGGCCAGGTACTGCAGGTCCCCATGGCCTTCTGCCCACCCTTCCAGGTTTGCCCCAGCTGGGCCCCATGTGATATTTCCTGGGCTTGGGTCATTGATTCTGAGGTTCTGATCCATCCATCTCATCCACTCGTAGAGAGTCAGCCATTGGAGACACTCACTTCCTGTACATAAGGTGGGTTCCAATATCCTCACATGGGACCCCTCGGAGCACTGGTGCTCCTAGACCCCAATGGCTAACAGTCAGACACTGGGGATACAGCCAGGACCTGCTTGTTCTGGTCATGAGGTCTCAGGGTCCCAGAAGTGCAGAGACACTGCTTATCTAGGGCTTCCCTTTAGCACTGTTTCAGTGAAGAAGGAAGACTAGAGAAAAACCTAGACATTTGAATTACGGTGTTGGTGAAGAATATTGAAAATACTGCGAACTGTCACGAGGACAAGCAAACCAATCTTTCTTGGAAGCAGTCCAGCCAGAATGGCCCTTGGAGGCCAGGACGATGAGATTTCATCTCATGTATTTTGGACATGTGATCAGGCGGGACCAGTCTCTGGAGAAGGATGTCATGCTTGGTAAAGTAGAGGGTCAGCCAACAGGAGGAAGACCTCAGTGAGCTGGACTGTCACAGTGGCTACAACCATGGGATCAAGGTTAGGATGTCACAGGGTGGGCAGGGGTCCTTTGCATTGTCATGTGATTACTATGAGTTGGCGCCAGCACCTGACAGCAAGGGCCTGGGTTTGTCTTTCAGGTAACCCTCAAGTTTCCAAGGAGGCCCCCCGGGCTTTCGAGATACCAGACAGGCCTATGAGGCATTAAGCTTCTTCACTGGACAGGGAAGGGGAGTTTTAGGACCTGGATCTGGGGTCCTTTGGGTGGACTCTTCTCTGTATTGATAGTCACTTCACTGATGGGCCTGGGTCCAGGTTTCTTGGGCTTCATTTCCCATACCTTTTCACGCTGAGTCCGGGGCACATGGAGAGTCAATATTGTCCTGAGACCGAGAGATCACTGTGGCTCCTTCATCCCACAAGCCTGAGAGCTACTATGAAGGCAGACTGGGATTCCAGCAAGTAAAGACTGTTTAGGTTCCCAGAGACAGAGAGTAACTCTGGCAAGATAAGTTGGTCCCCACTCCTCCATGGAAGTGAGGCTACATCCTCCACCAGATGCAGGATCCCTGTAAGGAATGAAGTCGGCTGACCTCTAAGACCTGCTGACGCCAACGCAGACATTATGGGGTTAGTGTATTTGGATGAAACATAGACTAAAGGACACTTTCTTTTTGGAGTTTTCACTTTGTGGGGCGCCTCCCTGGGGCTTCAGCAGGACTGGGTATGTCTACTGTCAGTCACACCCATGTAAGTATGCCCGGGGGCTGAGGATAGACCCACTGTTTTCAACAACCCAGATAGAGACCCAACCTGGGGAGTTCCTCATGTAGCCCAAACTACTTGCCCCTGGGCAAGGAGCATGCTGGGAGGGCTAGGACACACGAAAGAGGCAGGCCTGCTCCAAGTGGCCAGGCCCAAGCAGAGGGCAGGTGCCCCTTAACCAGAATCAAGGATCAAGGGCCAGGTCAGGAGCGCAGACCCACACTGCCACCTACCTAGTAATAATGATACACTTTTTATTGTTGTTAAGCACTGTTGCATCGATTCCGACCCATAGTGACCCAAGTAGGGTTTCCAAGGTGCGTTTCGTGAGCTTGAGCCACCAACCTTGCGGTTCCCATCGACGTTACAGTCTAACAATAATTATATTATGATTTGGTGCCTTTGAGTTGGTTCTGACTCACACCACTATGTAGACCAGGGTGCTAAACACTGTCCAGTCTTGTGCCATTCTTACAATGGTTTTAGGTTTGAGCCTGTTGGTGCAGCCACTGTTAATTCCATCTCACTGAGGAATTTAATAAAAGGGAAAGGGATTTCTGGTAGATGGGGAGCTAGGATTATCCGCCACACAGCCCCTCTACACCAAAGATCCGGGAGATCAAACGAGACAGACCCAGAGGACTGAACTTCAGAGGAACGGTTAGAGAAGTGGACTGGATACCTTCAGGGAGGAGAAGCTGACCAGGGTGGTGAAAGGAGACAGACTGCTGGCCAGATGTGGCTTGGCCATCTTGAACTTTTCCTAGCAGCTGTGGAAAGACAGACAGATGGCGGCCTGGTGGTGCAGATTCACACAGGGAAACAGAAAAGGTGGGGTTCCCTCTTTCTCCCCACATCCCCCTGGATAATAAGTGACAGCAGCCCTCACCCTCACGTACCCCCAGCGCAGACCCCACTCTCTGCGAGTTGGGAGAGAGTGTGAGGTTGGCGCCCCCTATGCTGCCTTGGTGCCTGGCTTCAGGGGGCTCTGCTCCAGATCTACAGACCCCACAGAGCCCCCAGACCAGAACCAGACTAGCAAGAACCTTCATAGTCAGCAACCTGCCCCCAGATGCCCTCTGGGTCTGACAGACACGGAAACTAGCAACCTGAAGGGTCTTCACAAACGACTCTCGGACTGGGTGCCCTGAACACACCTAGGCTTGTAGGAACTCCATCTAGGGTTGGGGACTCGGCCATCACACCCCTCCTCCACCCATCTTGTGAGGTCCTTGGTTGGCAGGGGCCCCCAGAGCTTTCTCTTCTCTGGGTCCAACAACGACACTAGTTTTTTGTTTGTTTATTTTTCCTTTCATTGTGTTTTTGCTTTTGTTCATCGATTCTGTCTTCTCCTTCCTCACTTTCCCTTCCCGTGACTTTTGTCCTTTCTGTATTCACTTGCGTAGTTTCTTCTATTCATTTCCACCCTCTTCTTTTTTGTGTTAATTTTTCTTTACTACTCTCTAGTCTCCTTTCATCTTCCTTGTCTGGTTTTTCTCTTGTACGGCTCGCTTTCTTTTCACCTTTCAGTTATTATATTCTTCTTGCTTGTTGCTGACCATTTTCTCTTTCCCCCTTTATTATATTCTGTTTTCACTGTTGTTTGCTTGTTGGTTCTGTTTTGTTTTCCTGTGTGTTTTATCTCTTCTTGCCCCACCCAATGGGATACAGCAAGCACGCCCCCACAGCTCAGCCACAACTTTACCTTTTGCAGTTCCACCCACTGGACCAGCACCTATACCACCTGATGATCCCC